GCTGAGAAGTTCATACAGTCGATGGGGATGCGTCGCTGGCTCTGACTGGCTAGACTCTGGCTTAAACGATGATGCGAATCTGTCTAGGCGGTCAAAGTCCTCCACAATTGAGTATCGCACTGCATGGGTGAAGACGATGCTGAATGGAAAGAACGGTGTATGCAAGATAGCCCTGTCAAGAAGTCAGCTGACGGTAGAAAACGCGGCTGAAGAATAGTCTGCTCACCAATTTATATATCTCCGGATCAATAGAGGATCTTTGCAGCCGTTGACAAGTTTCATGCACTGGTCATGCAAGTCTAAAGTGTTGCGAGCAACAGTGAGACAGCTTTCATGGACCTCCATACCTTGAGAGCCAGGTAGCACCCTGAGGACCATGGCCGTCAAAGCTGACTGGCAAACAAGATCGCAATGGAGGTATATGACTTTCATAGGGTCATCATTCATATCTCTTCTCTCCGTCAAAGCTTGCTACATATCATGTTAGTCACCCAGACGAGGTAGAAGGAGCAGCACGTACTGCGATTTCGTGATGGGTCTCATCTATAATCGACTGTAGCTCCTGTGAAAGACTACCAGCTACCTCGCAACGGTTAGCGTTCGATGTGGTCAAGCCCTCAGGGCTATATAGCTGGTCATATGCCTTTCCCTGTATCCGCCCGAGACGAATGGATCGATGCTGATTTTCCTGGCGGGTCAACGATACTTCAGAGTCGCGAACACCAGAGCATCGTCCCAGTCTCAATGAAAGACCTTTTTCATATGCGTAAACGACCCAGAACAGGTCAGACTGAATATGTTGAAGGCCATCTTTAGGCGAGTCAAGCCGATGGTAGCCCAGCGTCTGGCATAGTGTCATTGCAGTTGAGATCAGGGTCCACGACTGTGATGCTCGACTTTCCTCGACGAAGTAAATTGCCTTACGAAAGTTAGCTTTCGTCTTGGAGGCACAGTTGATGTGAGCATACCCCAAGAGCAAGCGCGGCGATTAGCTCCATGCATGGTGTCGCCAACAGAGTCAGTTTCGTAAGGCCGTTGCCAACTTTGGATCGGTAAAAGCGACAATATTCTTGTGTCTTCGCATCTCCGTGAATGACTGCATATTCAGCAAAAACGTAGGATAAGAAACTATTCGCGATAATAAACTCAGCCTCAGTATGATCTTCGACGCGGAAATAGACCTTGTTGCATATGTCTAGAAAGACATCGAGCGGAAGGAAGCGGCATATCCAGACTACTCTATAATCTCTCGAGTGATCTATATTAACATTGTCAGCATGGATAGACAGAAGCATGCGTTGACATACCTTTGACCCATCGCAGAATTTCCACGATGGCTTCCAATGGGGGCTTCGGGATACTTTCTGGTGGCTCATGAGGCTTTTTCTGTTGGCTTCGAGTCATCCGAGTGCTCTCCAAAGCATTGGCAAGACTCTTCAACGAAGAAATGGTGCTGCTCCATTCGGTGTCTGCTTGAACTGAGCCATTGTCCTGGATAATGGATTGAACAAAGTCTATGATATGGGCGGAGTAATCCCAGCGAGGAAGCGGAGCAGCTGTAGCAGGGGGTCGGAGCTTCTCCGAATTGTTAGCTTCAGCTGGACTTGAAGATATAGAAGCCGAATGATGTTGCTCGTGTGATGTTTGAGCTGATGCGATTCTGTTCAGGTCGAGTCCTGCCAGCAGAGACTTGATGCTACTGACATCACGAGAAATGTCATCAATCTTTCGCTCACTGTTTCGGATTAATTAGGTCTAGAACACCACAACCATGGGGACCCTAAATACTATTGTTCAGAGACCAAGACTCTCTGCCTGGCAGTGCTTGTCTTAGGTGCGATCCTGCTGTGAGTGCAGTCGACGCGGGCTGATACGCAGTTAGAACAAGGCGTTGCTCTATCACATCCGATCTGAGAAATCTTAGTAGACGCCAATCATATTGTAGATTAAAGGTACCTTTCTTGCTCGGCATTGATCGCACTAACAAGCATGTCAGTCAATGACTCTTTTCAGTGAACAGTAATTGGGAGATTTGTATGGGTCCATACCGAGCGGCGGCTGATCGCAGGGCGGTCGAAGCCTCTCTTCTCCGCCGGAGATGCGCGGGATTCCATATTGATTAGTTGGTCGGTAGAAGTTTGTCATTGACAGAGACTCCCATTATAATGATGTTGAAGAGGGGACTGCCGATGACAAACCTCCCGGAAACGCGCGGATTTCCAGGTATTGGTCAGTTTGTGGAGTCAGCCGAGCCAATCACAATTGCCAAATCCACCTCTTGATGTCAGAAGGATTACCTTTGGCATGGAGATGGGTATCTTAAGATTGAGAGATAATTACTATAAATGAATGTCTTTTGCTCAAGAGAAACTATCCAGAAGTAAGGTGAAGCTTATAGCACAACAACATTCGATTTATTACATTACATTATCTTCTCAGTATCATGCCTCACAACGTCCTTGTCACTGGAGCCGCTGGCTACATGTAAGTGAGCCATCTTGATCGATCTCTCCTTTGCTAACTATAAACAGCGGTGGCTCTGTTATCGCCGATATTATTTCTCGTACCGATGAGACGTTGAAGGCCGTCAACATTTTTGCGGCTGCTCGAAGCCAAGATCAGGTCGATAAGATATCCAAGCTCGACAGAGTCCATGCCTTCTTAGTCGACCTCCAAGACAAGCCTGCTGTGGAATATGCAATTGCCAAATACGAGAGTAAGCTTTCCGTTTATTTTTAAGTTCATAGTATCTGACAGTTCCGTCAGTCGACATCGTCATCCATACAGCTGGAGCCATTTTTCCAGACATGTTGTCAAACCTACTCAGTGGTCTTGGAGATCGCCGCCGAGCTACCGGCAACAAAACATACCTAATCCATGCAAGTTCCTCCTACGTATATCTGGAGTCTTTCTGACACTTTAACAGTCTTCGGTTGCGTCCATGTTCACCGAGGAAGGCGGATGGCCTTTCGGCAAGGTCAAGGACTCTGATCCACTCATCGATAGGCAGAGGGAGCTTGGCCTTGACAACCCCGTTCGAAAGGTAAGCTGGAAACCAATATGAGAGGTGACTGTTCATGCTGACGGAACTTAGACGAACATTGTTCTTGCCGATGAAGGGAAGGCCCAGGGCGTCGAGACTTTTAACATCCCCATCCAGCTCACTTGTAGATATCCTTTACATTGTCCACTCTGTTACATAATACTAATGTTAGCATAGATGGACGTGGAAGTGGCGAGTGCAGAAAGCTCTCTGTCAACATTCCTGCTTTGATTCGGACGAGCATCAAGTTGAAGACGGTCCACAAGTTCGACCAAGACTCGGTAAGAACTTTCCATGATTTGCCTACCAAGAGATTCCTGTCTAACACATGCCAAGACTCCTGGAAATGTGCATATCTCCGATCTTACGGATCTGTACGTTCTCATCCTCAACAAGATCCTGAAAGAGGAGCCCATCGCTGTTGGAACAGACAGATACTTCTTCTCAGTTGCTCATCGCATCAGCTGGTGGAAGATCATGGATAAGATTGCCGAAGGGCTCTACGCCCGTGGTCTTGTCGATGAGCCGACACCAAAGATCTGGCCCAACTATGACGTGGCAGCTGATGCCCTCGGATTTCCACGAAAGTTCATTCGTCCCATGTGCATGCCCAAGTAAGTTTCTCTTGACCTCGAAATGATACAAATGCTGACCAGTCTCAGTGGTGATCTTGAACCGGCGAACGGAACTGCGTTGGGTTGGAGGCCCAAACAGGACAGCGAGCAGAAATGTCTGGATCAGATTGACCAAGAGATCAATGATGTTGAGGAGCTGGATACTGTCAGAATGGGGCTTTTTGACACTCTTATCGCCGAACAGAAATAGTAGATTGCATTCTCCCCTCGTGGAGATGTTTGTCTGAAAATCATCACGTCGCTTTCGGTATAGATTGAGGTTATTATCATAGAAAATGCAACATATGTTCTTTGATAACCATCAATACTGCCACATGTTTCACTATGAATATCTCCTCTCGTAATATGATGTATTAGTATCATTTAAACAGTGCATATGTCAATATGACGCTCATGATACCACTCTTCTGATGAGATCACAGCATTCTGAAGCCATCAACTGGCTATGTCATTGTGGCCAACGATTGGCAACGGCTTCAGTGCCACCACATACCTTTCTAACGTCGATTGACGTCGGCTCTGCATTCCCTTGAGCTTGTGATTCTGGATTAGTTAAAGTGGTGAGATCAGTGCCGATCCTCAGCGGAATGCGGTATGTGAAGAAGTACGTCACCACTGCCTGCCAATCGGCAATCACTGGGCGTCACGTTGTTTAGAGGCAGAGACGGCTTCGAATGGCTGTGCGTGACCAATAGCCATGGCGGCGCCCTGAAAAACTCTTACACGAACCACACGAAAGGACCTGCGACTCAGGTACTAAAAGACTCAAATCAACAAAGTCCCTTGGGCAAACAAAACAGCTTGGCTATTCTGTGTTCCACTTCGATGTTAAGCACTCCTCTTCCGTTCAACAAACTCATCGTTGAGTCTTGGCCAGTGTTCTCGCCCTTGCATCGGGTTCCTGCATCATGCAGGTGATGCAACTAGACCACCACGGACCTTTCCACAAAGTTCATGAAGCCTATAACAACGACGCAAAAGCCCCAGATCGGAGGTGGAACCATACCAAAGACGATCGAGGACCCTTTGCTGTCAAACCTTATCTACCCTTCCGATCTATCAGACCCTCCGGACAAGGAATGCACATGTCGTCTAGCAAAACCTAGCCCCAAGCCTCCACGGGCTCCGCGCCCTGGCTAGCAATTGCCAAATCACTGCCTATTTGTATTTTCATGACGCTAGGCAAGGCTAGAGTCAGGGAGAATCGCCACGAAAGGCGCCGCCGCATTCCAGGACCCTGTCCGCATCCAACTTAGTGTCATGGCCTTGCGGAACAATAAGACAAGGACGCATCCGTTTTGTGCCTTTGTTTTCATTTCATCACATTTCTGTCTCACCTTGTCTCTCATTCTCGGTGCAGTTGATACGCTCTTTATCGAAAATGACTCTGACAAAGGCTTTTCCTCCACCTACGGGTGCGGCCGTGCTGGTACGTTCCATGTCTCACTTACATCGCTTTCGTCTGTGCAAGCCAGGTGTTGGTTGCTGATGTCTCACAGGGCGCGACGTTCAGTCTTATCGCTTTCGCGGCTGTTATTATAGCTACCAGATTCTTTTACCGACTGAGAATCCAGAGGGAGAAGTTGGTTACGAGTGATTGGTTTATGATCCTGGCATTATGTGCTGCTATATCGTGTGCGGCATTCGACGTCGTGTTCTACAGTCTCGATGTTCTCAGGCCTCGAATCAGTGTTGGCTTTGAGAATTATAATCCGGGTGAAGAGAAGGTTGAATACATCTACAAGGTAAGATTTGTGCAAACATGCAGACCACGATAGGTACTAACGTGCATCAAGATGTCCTGGGCCAGCGAGATCCCCTTCTACGCGACAACATATCTATCTAAAGCAATTCTTCTATCTATGTACTTCCAGATCTTCCCCGCCTTTATGGGAAGGCGTCGTAAGACACTCTGGATCACTGTCTTTTACTGTGGACTGGCGTATGCCGCGACTCTTTGCATGCAGCTCTTTTCTTGTATGCCTATTGAGAGGCACTGGTACGTCTTACAAAGATGTCTCACTTTTGGGTCATTTACTGACATCTGGTAGGGTCATCACTCGACCTTTGACCGCATGCGACTGGCGATGGCAGGGTATCGTCTTTCAGGTTTCTTGGGCTTTGTCTTTCTTGGGCAGTCTTCTCAGTACGTTGGGAGCATCACACCTCTCTTGGCCAAAGCATTCACTAACGCAGTGCAGTCTTGATTCTTCCGTTCACTGTCGTTCATGATCTCGATTTGACCAAGCGAGCTAAGCTTGGTCTGTACTTTGTGTCATTGGTCGGCCTTCTGGACATCGCCATCTCTCTGGTCCGATTCTTGAACGTGGAGCTCGGAGACAACGGCTCGTTCCGCTCCTTTAGCACGATCGGTAAGTTCTATCCCCGATGCACATTCCCATGATCGAGCTAATCCTTCTGCAGAGCTATGGAGCTCCCTTGACGTCAACATCGGCCTCATCACAGCCTGCCTCCCTTCCCTCCGAATGCTACTCGGTCGTACTAGGAGAATTGACGACTACACGTTTGATGAAGCAAAGACCGCAAGATCATCTCGTGCCATGGAACATCGCGAACTGGAAGAGATCGAGGAGTCAACTTACCTTGGTGTCAACAGTGTCGGACCCTCGAACCGCTCAAACAGAGTGTCTCAAAATGGTGATAAGACGCCGGAACGGAAGCCCGAGCCCGAGCGATCTTGGAAGGATGATGATGGTGATGACACCGACTTCGAGCTTGACAACATCAACGTTGAAGCTCTTACCAAGGACCAGGCACAATCGTACTGGTCCACTCCCTAGTTTCTTTTGTCACAAATCTGTACTATACTGCCCCGGCCATCAGAAACGTCGCCTGTTCATACAATCAGATAGTCTGTAAAATATTGTCAGTGTCAATATACTCAACAATTTGTCCTCATAAGCATATTGGATCGTTGTTGTCGCGTGGTACCATCTGTCCTATGTGAAGATGTCGCGACACGTCAAAATGAAACACGTGGTCTATGTGTTTCCTGGTCGCTGCACTCTTATTCACTATGGTCATGCAAACAATCACGAAGGGGCCTTTCACCTAAGAGTACATTGTCTTAAGTATTCTTCCTTGATTGCGAGCATTTGGCATCACGCAGCAGATGATACATACCCGTTCATGAAACACGCCAAACAAACACGTCGCATCGCGTGATTTGATCTAAGAACTGAAGCGGAATAAAGACAGTTCAAACGGGTAAAACTCTCAACTGATCTCGATCTTAGTGTTATTGCATCAAGCCGGCTTCTTCCTGAATCCGTCAGCTCTCAGGTAAAGTCTCCGCGCCCTTGACTTTGTCGCGATTGAACTCACTTGTTCGCCAACCTAACGCGTGTCTTATTTCGCGTCTAGCTGAATGACCAAACTCCAATCTTTGTACCTTTTTACAGTCGCTTTGTCACTATCTCCCTAACTTTCTTGAGATCCAGTGCCTCGACAGTGCGCCCTTTGTATCCAGTCATAGTTTTCGCCATACACAGAGCGTTGCAGATGGCTTCCTCGGTCGCGTCCGCAACAGCCTCAAACGCGCCATTGATTGTCTCATTGTGCACTGTCCCAACTTCGAAAGACGTAGGTGTGAAGGGATCCAAATCTCCCCCTTCCAGACGTTGCATAGGAATCTTGGCGGCTGTAGAGAAGGCCAGGAAGATGTCGCCTGAACCATTGCTGCCATAGCCGCCGACGCGTGACAGTCCTACAGTAGCGCGCTTGGCAAGTCGCTGAAGCTGAACTGGGAGCAGGGGAATGTCTGTAGCGATGATGATGATGATGCTACCGTCGACGTGAGGTCCGTGAATCGCGGGCGTCTCTGATGAAGAAGGCGCTTGAGCCTCTGAGATCAGAATTCTTCCAACTGGAACTCCGCCAATGTGAAGGTCTTCCTTGAGTCCATAGTTGGCTTGAACAAGTACGCCAACAGTGTAATCTTTTGTGCTGCCTTTACTATCCAAGCCAGGCACAACACGGCTGCTAGATCCTGTCCCTCCCTTGAAGCGGTGGCATATCATTCCCGTGCCGCCTCCAGTACAACCTTCAGGTACTGCATCAGCAGACGCATTGCGAATACCCCGGACAACATGATCTGGAGTCAAGGCAAAGCGGGTTTGCTTGTTGAGGTATCCATCGTATGTCTCTGCCACAAGAGGAAACGCAAATAAGTTAACGTCCCCCTCTTTAGTCGCGTGATACTTAGTCGCGTAGTCATAAACGCCTCGAAAAGCTTCTCCAATGGATGAGTTTGTCGTCAAAATAATCGGCGATGTCAGTGTGCCCGATTCCTCAATCCAGTGAGAGCCCGTCATCTCCCCGCAGCCATTGAACTTGAAGATGGCAGCGTGACATGAGTAGTCGAACCAGTCTGCTCGAGGAAGAATAGCGGTGACTCCAGTGTTGACATCCTGGTCTGGTTGGATTGACTCGGTGTGAACGAGAACGCCTGGGACATCGGTGATGGAGTTTAGACGACCTGGCTGCCATCTGCCCAAGTAGAGCTCAGGCAGGAGTTCGCGGAGACGGACTCGCTTGGGGAGATCCAGACCGCCACCCATGATGATATTGTAACAGTCGGTACCTCGGATGCTGTAAATTAAGAGCGATAAAAGTAGAGTAATTGAACCACGAGCGTTAACAACACAATACTCAGTTATGGCAAGACACGAGGATTATAAATAATGTCATCTATTTCGGTTTTCGCATTTCAACAAAAGTTCCCGCATTTCGGGAACCCTTTTTTCGGCTTTGGATGCCTTTCCAAGGCGTAAGCTTACCCTCAGATGATGAATGTCTTAGGCGCCTTCCTTCTATGGAGACCTCGAACCATGGAAGAGGTGAAGCACTGCATTGCTTACCCTAGATAAGAAGGAGATTCAGGCCAAAGCTCCGGATTCAATGAGCAAGCAAGGGTGGTTGCGGCTATACAGATGACTGGTTGCTTAATTGTTTATCCACAATCAATCGTGTATAAAAACTCCAAGCAAATGTTGGAGTTACGACTGTTTGTGTACTGTTAGTGAGCCCCAAAAGGACTTGAGATCTTCAAGTCGCAGTGGTGCTAAGGAGAGGAGCTGCTTTGGCAGGTTCAGGATTACCTGATCGGGCTTAGCGGGCTCTGTTATCTGTTAAGATGCACTTCTATTAACTGGTTATTATAGCGTCAATGCCAGTACATCTGATTGATGCGTCGCTTATCGCCTGCTCCACCGAATTCCACTGAAACCTGCCCTGCGCGCCCAAAAACCCTCTAGGCGTCCAGAGAGGCGTCCAGTGTTCTCTCATCTCGGGATCGCGGTGTCGCGGGATACTGCGGCGCTCCCGACCGAAAAGCTCGCGCAGGCTGTTCTGACAAAACTGAGCAAATGTTAGTCATCTCAAGCCGGACAATCCGCATGGCTTTGTCTGGTTGGTGAGATGTCGTGGCAAGCCCCGGAACAGACGGAAGTTCGGGGCCAAACGTTGGTCAACGGGGCGGGATGACGTCTGCTGGGCTACGCGTTTAAATAACAGCCAGTATTGAACTCAGCTGAGACTCCAGATAATCCCGTGCGTGATATCGTGTCTCCTTTGTTTTACGCCTCTCATACCAATAGACACCCTCGTCGAGATGCAGAAAGTCAAAGCCAGACTGCCGTCATGGGACACGACAAAGACCCAAAGCAAAAAGGGCTTTGATAAAGTGTGGGGTTGGGCTGACAAGCTGGGTGCACCAATCAATCGACTTTCCAACCGTATCGGCAGTGAGGCATTCTGGCCTACGACTCTGGACAAGGAGAGCGACAAGGCCGCCAGAATTTTGAGATCCTTTTGCAGTAAGTCCCCCCCAAAGATATAGCTTAGCGAAATGAGAGGCAGACTGACCAGATAACAGAGGATGGCTTCTATACCGAGGAGGAAAAGCCGGCTGATGGCGAACAGGCTGGTCCCAAGCAGAAGCAGCGTGTCTTGAAGAAAATTCCCCAAAAGGTGATACAGAATGCTGTCGGTCTTGCTATCTTTACTACCATGCGAACCGGCCTCTGGGTATCTGGGGCCGGCGGATCCGGAGTCCTCGTAGCCCGAAACGAGGAGGATGGCTCATGGTCTCCTCCATCTGGAATCCTGCTTCACACAGCGGGTCTTGGTTTCCTCGTCGGAGTCGATATCTACGATTGTGTTGTTGTTATCAACAACCGCAAAGCCCTGGATGCATTTGCTAAGATCAGAGCGACTCTCGGAGGAGAGATCAGTGCTGTTGCCGGACCCGTCGGAGCAGGCGGAGTGCTCGAGAACGATGGCAAATGGAAGCAGGCGAACAGACCAGTCTTCACCTATCTGAAGTCAAGAGGATTTTATGCTGGAGTTCAAGTTGATGGTACGGTCATCATTGAGAGAACAGATGAAAACGCTCGCTTTTATGGACAGGAGGGCGTTAAAGTGGCAGACATCCTAGCTGGTAAAACAAGTCGACCTCCCGAAATCAAGATGCTCATGGAGACGCTAAAGGCAGCCGAGGGCCGAGAAGATGTCGACCAGCAATTGATGGAAGAGTTGGAAGGACAACCCGCGCCAGGAGACGTCGATGTCGAGGCTCCTGGTGAGGGAACAGTCTTCGGCATTCCGGACCCAGAAGATCCCGATCCGTACGGTGTTCTCGCCCTCGAGAAAGAAGGCCTTGAGATCCGTGATGCCGCAACTCACTCAAGGCCATCAAGTCAAGCCTTCGAGTACAACCCCAGCCCCAACAGCCCGACGTACAAAAAGTTCTACAGAAGGAGTCTAGAAACCGGAACGAGGAGCAATCGAGACAGCTATGCCTCAACGCCGAGCAGGACATATACGACATCTGAGGCTAGTACGCAGACTGAACCTGTCCTGATAACGCCCATCACAAGTATGACACCGGAGGATAAGAGTTTGAGTCATCCGGAGAAGCTTGATGACGACAAGTCAAGCATCTACGAAGATGTTCGGCTGGAGGATGACTTTCGGTCGCCGTATGATGGATCATCACAGTCGCCGTATACTACCATTGATAGCTTCATCACACCGCCTCCTGGGCCACCACCACCGCTGCCCGCTAGAAGTCCTGTTGCATAATGAGAGTGTTGGATAGAGAGTATTTATAGCCGGGCGTATGGGTATTGGAGAAAGAATGGAATTAGACATGCAACGTTAGTGAATTTAGAAACTACATCTCGTACCCTTCGATGCCAACCATCCGCGTTAAGTTTCGTCTCTATCTTCTATAGTCCAGTGTGGTCTATCATTGTCTAATCAGTATGAGAATAGTGAGGCTCTCCAGGCTTGTTGACCTCTTCACCCTCCTCCTCATCCGAGTATATGAGCGGAGGCGGCGACTCGGCACCACGAGACCTCACGAGCCTACGCCTATCACGCCACAATAACAGCTGAATAAAAGCAGTCTCCAAAACTGAACACGTAAGTTAGTATTCGTGAGGATATGGAGGGGAGGGGCCACTCACTCAGCAGTACTTGCAAAATGGTGGAGTACGTGTATCCCTTCCTCGCAGCGGGAAAATCTGTTGTTTTCCACATAAACATGGGCACCTGAAGGATTAGTCAAAGCAAGAGATAGGTAAGCGACTAACTTACGACAGCCTGTACAACATATGCTAAATCGTTGGCTGCAGCTACGATAAGGGCTCGCTTTTCCGTATCGGCAGAACATATTTCATTAATCCAGCTGAGGATCAGAGGACCGGCACCGTGCTGAGTTTGTGTTAGATGGAGTAATAGGAAAGGAGTGAAACGTACGCCAATTTTGCTGAGCCAGTAGACAACCTTTCTTCCGTCTACATTGGAGTAGAGCGGCATATTCAACAGGAGGATGTTGAAGATGATCTATTGGAGTTGCAGGCGTCAGATAGACATGTTCGAGCACAAGAATTACCGTAAACCTACGATAAGTATTGCTCCAGCATATATGAAGGGCCAACGAGCTCCCTGTAGAGGCCCGTCTGACAACCAGCCCCAGGTGAGGGCCATGACAAGGAATATTGCTGTGCTTGGGATAGGTACTGATGACGCACGAATTAGTTACAAGTCATGAAGAATAATGGTAGTGGCATGGCTGGAGGAATGACTTACAGTTATTGATCTCAGGAACAGTGAACGAGGTCCCGGGGACCGGAGGAGGCTGGCCGTTGAAGCTCTTCAACCAGTAACCCATAGCGGCCTGCGGGTTACCATTGTTCCAAAGAATGTACAGCAACGCTATTGGTCAGCTTAGAGGCTTTAGAGACACTCGAGGAACAACATACGAAGATGGTAAGTGTGCCAGCTAGACAAAACCTTCTTGGCCCTGTCTTTTGTCCAAGGCTGCTTGCCTGCGCGGCCAATTGCCTGCATCCTTTTGACTGACAGAATATGTTCCTCTTCAGTTGTCCACCAAGTTCTCTTGCCATCTTGCGGTAGATTCGGAAAGAAGAAGTATCCGGCAATCGCCAGTGGGATGGTAATGAGGCCGTCGATGATGAACAACCAACGCCCTAGAGGAAGGCTTAGCGTCAGATATTCCCAGATCACAGGATCAAGCCTTTCGCATAGCGAGCGGCTGAGATCTTTGGAACCGAGTACTTACAGCCTGCACGTCCGTGAACGCCATTGAGATTTGTATATGCAGCTCCTTGAAGAAAGCCACTGAACATGGAACCAACCGAGCCAGCCAGCCAGAATAGCATGGCCCGCTTTCCAATCTCTCTCGGCGTATACCAGGAACCCAGCATGTAATGAATTCCGGGATAGAAGCCTGACCTAGTATTGATGTTAGACTCAAAGGGCGCGACAGAAAGGTACCGCGAGGGGCTGGAGAGAGGACACTACATACTCGAAGAAGCCTACAAAGAATCGTAGCACATAAAGACTTCTGTATGATTGAACTGCTGATGTACAGATGGTTGCTATACCCCATCCCACTTCAAGCGATGGAATAACCCATCGTGGTGAAACTCGAGTCAGTAGTAGATTCGATGGTATCTGTCCGATGACATAGCCAAATGTCCATATCGAAGTGCCTTGGTTTTAATGTGAGAAATGATACCAAGAAGAAATGCCACTTGTGAACTTACTAGTCACAAGCTGATTTCCAAACATCTCCAGGTCCTCCTGCATGCCGCTTAGGAACGCGTTATTGATGTTGGTCTGGTCGATGTTCTTGAGGAAATATCCTATTGATGCGAAGGTCAGGATGAAGGCATCGACCTTGAAGAGTAAACGCCTCTGATCCTGTGGTAGCTCCCAGGTATCCCATATGTATCCTTTCCATGTTTTGACTGGCTCAAAAACTACATGCTCCTCAGTGCTCTCGGGTGAAGCGTCGGCCAGGGGCACGTAGCCTTGCGAGCCTGGATTTCTCAGTGTCGCCATGGTGTGATATGAAATGACGAAAATGCAAGATAATTACAGGAGTTCTATAAGCCTCATTTGCATAGTTTTGGCGAAGGAAGATATACCAATATTCCCATGATTCGGGGTTATGCTGATCCATGTGACCAAATATATGTGCTAATCGTTCCCTCCGATCGCGTCAGTCAACCTACGCACCACGTAATTGGCCCTTTCTAGATACCCACGCTAGAGTGTCGCAGTTGCTGATGAAGCAAGAAAGCACATAATATTTTGTACGTATTGCTTGCTAATAGCTGTATATGTATGTGACGGCTATTGGTTCGTTGTATGGAAGGATATTCGTCTGGCGGAGTCTGGGGGAGACAAATGTCGCAGATAGCCCAAGGACCTATGATTGCTAAAATCACGTTTAAAGAAGCTGCCAAGGTCCTAGAAACTAAATTCTGTGTTTTGCAACCTTTTTATGGGTGCTGGTGGAGTCTTATCGGCATAATATAGAGTTCCATCAATCGTCGCGGCGATACGCTGCACGATGCATCAGAACGAGTAACTGTGTGATCTTTTGAGCCCTCTGAGTCATTGCATTAGCCCAAATGGAAATATCTTGATCATATCATCCCACAGAATGCTTATCTACTTTACTTGTTATCATAGGAGGGCTCCAATGGTAACGCCGTGTCCGCTACCTCTTTCTTACTTCTCGATGTTACTACTTGAATCCTCCCAACCCAGATTCAACAGAACTGTTGAGGTTTCTGTCGACATATGAAGTGGTTAGTATACATTATATATACATACCTACATTACAATAAATCCAGAACACTTCTGAGGCCCAGGGTGTGCAAGTGATCAGCATCGCGATAAGAAGTACCTATGGTCTTACGATAGGATCTTGTCTGCCACTAATGGCAACGGCAGAATTTACGAAACATCTTTGAAGATCTCGTGAACTTGGAGATTCTGGAGTTGGCTTATCCTATCACTGATAGACATGACGCTACCAAACTCCGCTAGTCTTCTAAGCTGTTGACGATGCTGCGCCGAAGGAATTAGCCCCGGTGTTCAAATGTGGGAAGCTCCCTTCCTAGCAACATAGTGGAACGATTAGAACATAGGAATCGCCCCAATAGAGGAACAACAGACCACAGGCAGCTTTCAGATTTGAGACCTTGGGCGTACCCACCGATCCGATTACGACGGCCTAGCCTTGCTGCCTTTCCAGGGAGCAAGAAAAACTTCTGACAGTTCACAAGGGTACCAAAAGTAACTAGTTTAAAGACCTACTAAGTATATACTAAGCTTGCCACGTCTATCCTAAACTTATCTTTGGGATAACTGTAGATCCTAAGCTTTCTTACCTCCCCTAGTACCTGCACCTGTGAGGCAGTCCAAGTCCAAGGCAAATATGGACAAGAGCAAAGACGGAGTCATGTATCGAATTGATCCAAGCCTTTCTTGAGACTGGATACGCCGAGGCTTGGCAATGGCGGCAATCAACGGGAATATCAATGGTCACTCTTGGCATTGGGGGGGGGGCTGAACCTACTCCGCACCGATTGGACAACCAATATTTAGCCTTGAACAATTCACGATCTGAGCTTCTCCCCAGACGATATCTTCAAGTTAATCGATCTATTCTTTGCCGGTTATCCGTACAAAGCTCAGACCTTTCGGCGCCGTGAAACATGGGGTTCGGCGTCGGCCACCGAAACCGAGATCCTCAACCCCGCGAATACGATGCAGATCTTGTATGTAATTGGAACCAAGTGGGCTTGATTTATGCGGGGATAGCTACCTCCGGCTGGTCACCGCGAGATGAGATGCAACGGTCCTCTCGCCTCGCTTAATTTTTTCTATTTCTTGGCCCTTCTCCTCCTTTGCCAGAGTTTTCACTGACTTTTGCCAAGGGATATCCTCAAGATTTGAGGCGGCTTCATTAAGATGGCGGCGCGAAACGACTTTGATAGCAATCCCGAGATGGCTGGTGATGAGAAGGTACGTCTCCCGCCTTCTCCAACAAGGCCCCCAACTGAATCCCTAAGCAGAACTCCCATTCTCGGCTAGAGAGCACCACGGCAATTGATCCAGCTCTTGAGAAGAAGCTGGTGCGCAAGCAAGATGTTCGCATCATTCCCTTGGCTGCGGGTATCTACTTGCTCTGCTATCTAGACCGTTCCAACATTGGTAACGCCAAGGTTCTCAACCATACGACCGGTCATGATCTTCTCACGGAAACAAACATGACCAACTATGACTTTACCATTGCACTCATGGTATTCCTCATTGCATATGCTCTCTTCGAAGTTCCGTCCAACTACTTCCTCAAGAAGATGAAGCCGAGCAGATGGATTGCGTTCCTCATGTTTGCATGGGGCACTATCACGATCTGTCTTGGTGCAGCTCACAGTTATGCTGTTGTCACGGTTCTGCGATTCCTTCTGGGTGTCTTTGAGGCCGGCTTGTTCCCTGGTCTAGTATACTATCTGACTTTCTGGTACAAGCCTGAAGAGCGCTCGGTTCGAGTTGCAACTATCTTGGCATCTGCTACTCTGGCTGGAGCTTTTGGCGGCGCCATCGCTTATGGAGTTGGCCATATGAACCAGGTACATGGGCTTTCCGGCTGGCGATGGCTCTTCATCCTCGAGGGTATCCCCTCCGTGATCTCGTCAGCTTTCGTCTGGTTCGGACTCCCAGATTTCCCCGAGTCAGCCAGCTGGCTCTCTGCAGAAGAAAAGGACATTGCAGCATATAGACTTTCTGAGCAGGGATCACATGGTGACAGCAAATCCATGACATGGGAGGATGCGAAGTCAACTTTGCTAGAATGGCGCCTCTGGTGCCATTACCTGGTGCGTATTGCTCTTCTCTGACAGTAAGGCCCTTTGCTAACCGCGTCAAGATCTACTTCGGCATTTCAGCCCCATTCTCCAGTCTGTCGCTCTTCACGCCTTCAATCACAGCCGGCCTCGGTGTATGTAACAGGAATATTGGAGATTGACATCAGCTAACAGCATATAGTTTGCGGATCTTAGAGCCCAGTTGATGACCGTGCCTCCCTACGCAGCTGCCTACGTCGTTACACTGCTTGTTTCATGGTTAGCAGACCGACACAATGCGTGAGTAATGATTCAATGTCACTAACGTCAACGTTCTCTAATTTTACATTAGCCGTGCTCTTCACTCTGCTGTATTCTCCTTGATAGGTGCTGTCGGCTTCATTGCCTCTGCAACTCTTCCAGCCGATTCTTATAGTGTACGTTTGTCTGAAACTCTGGTCCTATGCAAATCACTAACTTTATAGCCTCGTTATGGTTGTCTGATCGTGGCGGCGTGCGGATCCTTCGCCTGTATCCCACCTCTCCTGGGCTGGCTGTCGTCCAACCTTCACTCCACGGCGGCCATCGGCTTGGCTATTGCGCTCAACATTTCCATGGGAGCTCCTGGTCAAATTGTTGGTGTCTGGATCTACAAGGCAAGTGAAGCCAAGAAGGGCTATCCCACCGGGCACTGGGTAAATGCCGGTCTACTGTTGTTCGTGAGCGTTGGCTGCCTCGCCATGCATGGGTACTATGTCTGGAGAAACAGACGGGCTGCTGGTACTGACCAGCCTCGCTTCAAGTACTGATGAAACAGTAGAATGAGAACTAAGTGTTGGCGGATGAGAAGATCAAGACGGATGGAGCTGTAGGGTTTACGACTTCTATTTTCATGATTCGATATATAGCAATTGCACGTTGTACAGCCTTTATAATCTGAGCGAGATTCCTCTTGATAATACTATTGCTTTATACAGAGCTTGAAAATTTATTTAATGAGCTGAGGTCATGCTGGGACAACTCACTCTCCACGGAAGGGAGTCGTCCTAGAGAGGAACAGACGATCCAGCCTCTTCCAACATCTCGGCCAGTCGCAACGAACCTTGATAGATCTTCTTTCCTTCTCTGGTCTGTTCGCCTGCATGTTCTCGGTTCCAGTCCATGATGACCGAGACAACCCCTTCCAGTGTCGTGAAAAGTCCTTTGTACCCTAGTCCGCCCTCAGAGATAGGCTGCCTAGCCTCAGTATCAGATGCTACCAAATGAGTGCATATTGTGATGAGCCCGGGCTGAACTGTTCTGAGATCACCTTTGACCTCTGGGAGTATTCCTTTGAGGAATGGGAGGCGATGAGGAAGTAGGATGAACCATTCGACGATATGGGTCATCAAAAGGATGATCAAAGGCGGCACGATAACATTTCGAAAGGGGTGAATAGATAAGACTTCCACGGCAGTATAAACGTCTCCGAAAGTGATTGGTGGACCAACATCTGTGACCACGAACGGCTTACCAGCTTGGGTGCAATTTTCTTTCGCTAGTGCAGCTTCATGATATAAATGCGCGACAGCTACGTTAGCGCCATGAACGAAATTCTGTACGATGTGCGGGACCCAGCTATAAGAGCATTAGGAATAACCGGAGATGATATTAGACGAGACTTACGTTTGATTGACATCCCTAGCCAGAAGATTTCCGATGGGGTTATCGGAGGGATGTCCGTAGATACCGTTCCCAGGTCGAATACATCCTGTACGAAAAGAAGGTTCATTCTCAGCACATACGAGGCGTTCTGCGATGGCCTTCGAAACAGCGTAGTTGGCAAAGTATTCCTCATGTTCTCGTAATGGCTTATCGAAGTCCTGTGTATCCATGACCTGCCAATATTGCTTCGGCTCTGCCCATGGTGCGACAAAGGCTTCGACAGGTCGGATGGATATTGAAGCTGATGATGTTGAGCTGAATATATCGGCGCCGACTGCACGAGAAGCAGCCAAGACGTTCTTGGTTCCTTGTACATTGACAGATTCAGTAAACTTGTAGAGATACTTGGACCTGGCTCCAGGTATGATGACAGCAGCTGTATGGAAGACAGTGAGTGGTAAAGATGCTATTTTCGGATCCCACGGCTTAGAGAAAGCATCGCCAACAGCAGCCTTGGAGGTAATGTCTGTCTGCACATAGTCCACTTGGGCAGCTAGACCTTCCCGAAGATCATCTCGCTCAGTCTGTCGAACATCAACAATTCGAATACACCTAGGCAGTGTCCCACGAGCCAACAACTGGAGAACTATGTATCCGCCTACGAGCCCTGGCACATACATCAGTACTAACTAACACCTCATGGACGGAGAGAACCTACCGTTGCCTCCGGTGACAATGTATCGTCTGTTGAGCTTTGGAGGTAAACGCCCATCAAAGTTAATTGGAGACTTCTCAAGAACTTCGTAGGTATGTCTCAGTAGTTCTGGCGTCCAAGGCTTGCCTCTAAGTTGTCCAACCTGAGGAGGCGTCTCTTTCAAGAGACGGTTAATGCGCCGAAGATAGAGGCCGAGAGCCACAAAGAACACGCCTAATCGAAGAAACACCAAGAACAGCTTAGCAGCCATATTAATGCTGTTTGTTGGTGCTAAGAAATGTGTCAAAGTCAAAATGTCATTACGCGTTGGAGACCCCCTTTTCGACAGATGATCTGATGTAACAAGAGGCTTTTGCAAACTCGTAAACTGTCAATTAATTGGAAGACACTTTTCGTGGGCTGAAACATAGCGAGATAGCCCCTAATTTCTCCGATCAATGTGCTGAGTCATTAGTTATCCTTGTCGGCAACCGTTTGATCTAGCCCAGTTTGTCGAATGTTACCACATGGTGCAAAAATAACACGACAAGATCAACAGGATTGCATCTGATTGAAGTCATCTTGATCTCAGCCTTGTGACGAGTTACTTCTGAAACCGTTGTACGGCACATGGCTTAAAGCTCTAATACCATCCCCATAGCCTTGTGACCAACCTTTCTGAAACCCAACAACAGGCTCTGATACCGTACCCTGGTCATTTCCCTCTGAGAGAATGACAAAACTTCTGTTTGTAGTGAGAATTTGTGGTGCTACGCTTCAGGGCGCGAACCTACTATTATGCCGCTATACGAGGTAACACAGCTTATGCGATGCAAAAAGAGTTTCTGAGGAAATATGTTAATGCGCTTCCTGGCGGTGTAAAAGTTGACCTGCCAATCTTGGAAAGCCGGATGCCCAAGGCGGACGGATCTCGTTGTGTCGATGACAACCAAAAGATCGATCTATCCAGCCGCCCCATCCCTGAAAGGAGGACCTTAGCGTAGAACAACATTGAAGGGACGGGAATTGTGTCGTTCCAGGGCTGTCACACCGGGGATAATGTCAGGATTGTTGATGACGCGCACTAATTTCAGGAGCTTTTCCAGCATAATGTGTACTCAACCCGAGACTCCCAAATACTAAAGATCAGTTCTACTTTTCAACTCACTTCCCGTGACTCAGGTGTCAAATAGGCCATCTTACTTATCAAGTCCGAAGGCTGTCTTCCTGGTAGGTTGGCAGTGGAGACCATGACCAACGGGTGAGGGCTGGATATAACATTCTCGAAGACTCGAAAAAAAAAAAAATTCACACGCGCCTTCCTCAAGTGACGACATCGACTTATCCACTCATTGAATGCGCTGTATCGATTCGGCAGCTGTGTTGGCTTATTACGTGGCCTGACAACTAAGCCAGGGCGGGACGTGCTCGCCTGATGAACATCATAAAGAAACAAGGTCATCTGAAGGGTCATTTCATACCATCAAGAGATTAATTCCATCCGAGGTCTGTAGATCAGAGGACTCATGATGTAAAAAGGGCGGAGTGTCTCTGGCTCACCGAGGATGGTGACATTCTCAAGTGGGTTAAACGAACGGCATTAATATTAACTATTTAGCACCCTCCCGGCACATATTGACTAGGATGAGGAAGTAGTGAGATGTGATAGTCTCGTTTTTGATCTCTGATTAGTGGAATTAGAAGCATATGCTGAAGAAAAACCGAGAGTTCACTTGGTGGCAGAATCATACAAAGAAACACAAAAGTGCATGATTCTTTTCTTCACCCTGCGGCCTGACGTCAGAATGACGTTTAATAAGCTGTCAAACCTGCTTCTAACCAATACAATTACCGGGAGAGCTCCGCCGGGCTTGATTGGCATACTAGCCAAAAACAGTCCACGACATCACTGTTATTGACTTTAATACCGACACAGTGGGCACATTAATCCCATCTAGCGTTCAGTGCTGAATCCTTTCCTGCCCACCAAACTCAAAAGTTGTCCTTTGTTCTCTATCAGATCACCTATTCACCCCCATGTGTCTCACTATGCCCCATCCAGATTATCTGATCATTCGCTCCAGCTGAAAGGGTCTTTGGCCATGGATCCCCAAGAAACCAGGAGACTGGTTCCGATCCTACCCGCTCAGCAGACCTCAGGATACATCTATGGGGAAGACCACTCGCCTGGGCCCTCATCACCACCGCACAGACTAAGAAAGAGGGTCTTGGTCGCCGTGGCCTGTGAAGGATGTCGCCGAAAGAAAGCAAAAGTACGAAATTGATCTCTATTCGACGAGTCATAGGCAATGCTAATGAGGCTTTTCTGTAGTGCGATGGTAGAAAACCAACTTGTAGCCGTTGCTTCTCCAAAAGCGAGGCATGCTCGTACGAAACCCCATTGGTTCCTGTCGCCGTGCAGAAAAAGTACGACATCTTGCTAGTCGAAAACCAACAGTATCGAGAACTATTTGACGCCATAAATAAGAAGCCAGAGTGCGAGGCGCAGGAGATTTTCAACCGACTGAGAAGTTCGGATCAGCCCCTTACTGTTCTCGAATCTGTAAGACAAGCCGAAGTTCTTCTACCGAAACTTTCTACAAACACATGGGATTCCGATCCCAGACTGGCATTTTTCGACCAGAAAGCATTCGAATCGAGTGTTATACAAGTTCCTGCCAAGCCATGGACAGCAGTTGCCGGAGATGGGATTGTGTCAGAGCTAATAACGGACTTCTTCACTTGGGATAACTCCTATATTTTCCCTGTGCTCGATAGGGTCACCTTTGTGGATGAGATGAGAGCGGGCGATGAGACAGAAATGAAATGGTGCTCTCCTTTGCTGGTGAATGCTATTTGCGCCAAGAGATGTGTAAGTGGCAAGCTGACTTTCTCGGGCCATCACTAAACAACTGTAGCTCATGGTTGAACGAGGGAAACAATTCGGTGTGATGACAGGTCGAAACCTCTCCGACTGCTTCCTAGCTGAGGCCAAGAGCCATTTCGATTCCGAACAAGGCCGACCATCGATACCAACTGTTCAAGGACTACTCCTGATATATCTTACCATGACAGCCACGGGGAAAGACAGAGCTGGTCTGATCTATCGCCTCACAGCCTATGAAATGCTTAAACAGCTTCGCTTAGAAGCAAGGTATAAGGCAGCAAAGAATAACGTTCCACCTCAGACTCACGACATGATGCTGATATCCAAGACGCTTTGGGGAATATTCTTACTAGAGAGGTGGGATCGAGCTAATCCAATCATAAGACGTTGTATTGACTGGGAGCGTTTAGCCGGATAGCTTATTTCTACAACCAGCCCTCTATTATTCCCCCGCCTCAAATCCCTAAGCCCTTCCTCTCCATTCTCACATTCACTCATAAAGGAAATTTGGATGTTCTTGACAGGCCTTGGAAAGATTCCTCTGATCTTGTTCCTCGACCACCAGGAGTATTGGCAGCTGCATGCTCGTTTTCCGAACTTCTCTACGAGACCATGCAGTATCTCACGACCTCGAGAGTCAGACGGGGAAGTGAGGAGGATATTCATGCTAGACGGCTATTCTTTTCTCGGCTTATACAGCTGAAACATGACATACCTCGCCAGCTGGTCCTGGAGCGGAATTTAACACCAGTAACATGCTTCCTAAGGTAAGGATCTAGTTCTCTGAAATTTCCTTCACTAATAAGACTACAGAATGGACGAGAACCTAATACTATATACACTGCTTCAGTATATGCCTGCCGAGATACCGTTTGGTGTCCCATACAGCTCGACAGTCAAGGACCTCCGCATCCAACACTGTCGCCATGACACCGACATCATCGCGTCGTTTATCAAGAAGTGGCCTACGAACCTAATGGTAGCACATCAACTGTACATATCAATGCAAACACTGGTCCCCATACTCGATGACACTGCGGCACAAGATCTCTTTACAAAAGGTTGTCGGATGGCACAGTTGTCTTCTCGCAGCATTAGACTCAGTGGAGTTCTCCTACAAGCGACTCAAGCTTTCGTCTGGGCTATGGACAAGTCCATCCCGGAACCTGCACGGCAATATCTGGAAGGATGGACTCAAGAAACAGTTGAGAAGGACTTGCCAATGAGTTTTGCCTTGCCTCCTCGAGGAGAGGTCAAGGAAGTCCTCGCATCTGATGGAAGCGACCAAGAATGCTCGATATGGAATTTGGGCACCTTGATTGAGAAGTGGGCGATGCTGTCGATGGAAGAAAGCAGACAGTCGTCGTGAACATATCGAACGAAAAAGCCCTGCCAACAGATGCGAAATGATCTCTGGCTGCGTCATATGCTTGTATCAGACTAGCATCACTCTTCCATTATCTTCGCTTCTGAGCCATACTATTCCACCGATTTCAGGACCATCAAAATCATGCATGATTCTTAGTATGGCTCCTCGTATTCGATGGCGACATTATATGGTGGGGTCACGGGATATCGAGGTTTTGTGATCGCTTCACTTAGAGGCTCAGTGGCAGCACGTGAATACCGTATCAGATGATCTTATCAATTTAGGCGACTATACTGAACTGCCATCATATTCCGTCTGAGACATTATGTTATTTATAGTCCCATCTTCTGATAATGGTAAATCTCAGCGCTGAACGCTAAGCTATGAGTGGATTTTGGTGTCTTGGCCTTGAGGGTCATCTTACGCGTCCCTAAGGTAATGCCAAGTAGATCACCAGCCACAGGCATATGCTCATCATGACAAACATGATTCGGCGATTCCGATGTGAGGTGGCTCAGCCCCGGGGTCATTTGGTGCATGTCCGAACGCCGAGCCACAGCATGCCGATGCATCCGGCTGCCAAGTGACCGCGAGTGCCGAGACCCGCGCCGCAAACATGTTGGTTCGGGCAACTGCGCCACCATTGCCCAGAGCGAGATCACATCAGCCAAGATCAATAAACCTTGTTGGAGCTGAATGGCTTGATGACGACAGTGTCTACTTAAGTAGAGCTTGACCCCTCACTTTACATCACTGTTCAAAGCTAGAATTACAGTACAACTTCGCGAATACACATAAACAACACAAACAACATGTCAGCTCAAGATTACTACAGTGGTGGTGGAGGTGGATACGGCCAGCAGCAACAGCAAGGTGGTGGTTACGGACAACAACAAGGCTATGGCCAACAACAACAGGGCTATCCTCAGCAGGTAAGCTATCTATCAAGCTCCGAGCTCCAGCTGCAGTTACTAACAGAGCTTCAATAGCAACAATACTCTCAAGGATCCAACTACGGCTCCAACCAGCCCAGCTACGACAACCGTGATCAATCGTACGGCCAACACCAAGGCGGACAATACGGCGGCGGACCCAACCAATACCCCGACGGTGCAGGTGGTCCCGGCGGTCCGGGTGGCCCGGGAGGTCCGGACGGAGAGCGCGGACTGGGTGCTACACTTGCAGGAGGCGGTGCAGCCGGCTGGGCCGCTCACACAGCTGGTAGCGGTCTTCTCGGCAGTCTAGCCAGTGCCGCTGCTGGTGCCATTGGCGCAAACTTCCTCGAGCACAAGTTCAAGAAGCACAAGAAGGAGAAGAACAGGAAGCATCACCGCGACGGACGCCCTCGAGCTTTCACCGGCGACTCAACTAGTAGCAGTGACTCCGACTCTGGTGATGAGCGACGTCGACGAAAGGACGATGACTTGGCCTATGGAAAGTCTCAGTATGACAACTCCTCTCGACATGGACATGGAGACGGTTCTTATGGAGGCTCTAGCTCATATGGCGGAGGCGGCTATGGTGGCCGAGATCAGGGCTACGGCGGTGGCCAGAGCTACGGAGGCCAGGGCGGATACGGAGGTCAAGGCGGATATGGCCAGCAGGGCTACGGTGGTACCCGATACTAAGTGCCCCGCGATTGACGCTGGGAAGGATTGAAGAACAAGACATGATCTTTTGTAATTGATACGAGCCGGAAGAATATTGACGTTTCACGTTAGACATGAATACATATACCCTGCGACACTCATCAGTTGAACTTTCTATGACAAGCCGAAGACTGTACAATATCCAATGATTTTGCTTGCGCTGATATCTAATAGGTCCAGGAAGTTTCGAGAAGTGTCTTCGGTACGTCGACTCAGCCCCGATCGTGGTGAACTTGCTCTCCCTGCATATGCAGGTCATGAACTAAACCCCGCTAAATGATGTCTTGATCTCCACGTCTGACACAAGAACCTGGTAACAACGATACGCGGTCAGCATTATCCGAGATACCATGCGCGTAGGACACCTCATTACCGTGACTTCAGTCCTGGAGCGACCGTCTCATATGCGTCGTTTGCCATACTGGATCCTCATCCACCGTAATTATCGAGAACCCTTTTCGTCTCCAGAAGTCGATCGCGTTGGGTAAGAACGGATGCGTATGCAGGTAAAGCTGCTTGACGCTAGATTTCCGGGCGGTCTCGACTAGCGTGTCGAGCAGTTTGGAAGCTAGCCCTGCGCGACGCCATTCAGGCTCAACGTATAATCTCAGTATCTCGACAACATTCTCAGGTTCGAGAGTGATATGTGAGAAGCGACCATCGTAAGCAACGTAGCCGATTGTCGCTATCAGGCGCCCATCGGAACAAGCTGTTAAAAACGCGCCTTGAGGATGGTCAAGATATCTGTCCTTGAAGATGTCTAGTTCGTTCTGGGCCATTTGATCACTGGATGATTGGTCGAGGAACGGGAACATGTCCGCTCGGGCCTTTGTTATGAAATCCACGACACTGGGGATCTCATCATGCGTCGCTGGCTGAATGGTGATATTAGACATGTCGTATTTTCGGTGATAAAGTCATCGGATGCGTCAGATACAGTCCAGAAATCGCCTTTAAATAAAAATTCATGATGAAAATATGGCGCAACCGACCCCACATCTAAAACTAATCATGCTCGCGAAAAAGAAGCTTATTTTCACCCATCTAATCTCGCTAAACTGACCTTTCTTATCAATCTATTACACCATATTTAACATATGGCAATGACAGCTTTTGCGCTCCTTCAACTCTATCATGGTCCAGTCGACACACGTCCATGCTACCCTACGCAAATCTTACGTTATGTGACCACCATTTCAGTATTTCAACGCAATTATTCGTGGGTATTAATTCACGCATCACGCTCTACACCTTCACCAATAATAACCCCGGACGGATAAGCAGCCCGTCAGCAACAGAGGAGACAGCCTGGATGAGCAGCCACTGACAACAATCTATTACCAGAGCCTGCTTTTCAGCCGCTGCAAGCATGCTCATATTGGGCGATTCTCAGTCGCCAACTGGATACCAGCACAGGGATTCTGGCATGGGTAGTGGTGCAATGCGGCTCAATGATAGTTTAGAGCGAGGCAACCTTGATTACTTCATTTCCCATCAACCCGATCTCTAGCGTCTCTCGTTTTTCGTGTCAATTTCGCGATTACAGTGTTGCTGAAACACGCCACGATGCACACTAAAAGCTCTCTCCGTCTTTCATTTGCCCTGCTACTCCTACTGGTCGTAGAGGCACTTGCCGATGATGATAATACTGATTTTCTTATGAATGTCTTTTCCGACCTTGGCCCGTAAGTCACCGACACTTGATATTCTGCTTGGTCGTTCTTCCAACTGCTCGACAATGAGAGCTCACCCAGCTATCCAGCGTCCTCGCACTATTCGGTGAACAGTTTGCTCGACAATTCCTAAGTGAGACCTTCACCTGGTACGATCATGTCATCTTTGCATGCGTTCCGTTGGGCATCATGACGGCAATTGCTGGTGCGATCCGGGTCCAAGGTCACAAGTTTCTCAAAGCCTTCATCGGTCGTGCTCGTGAGAACAAGGCGGCTGCGGAGATTGAGTACATGTCTTCCACTTCAGCCGAGGTCGGTGAATTGTTCAATGGAAGAGGCATCGTTCGAACAATGGGGCAGCCCGAAATTGCTCAGTTTATCGTTTTCCCCGATGAACTCCTGAAGGAGAAGAAGGGTGCGCAAAATCAATCATACGGCATACATACTCTGAAATCCGCATCTCAAGAAGGCATTTTATGCAAGGAAGGTATGGCGTGAAAGTATGAGCTTCTCCCGTAAGTGTTGACCGGATGCTAGGCTATACCGATGAACTTGACCTGGCGGCACAAAACTGGTTGAAGTCATTCAAAGGTACGGATACTCGCAAAAAGGATGTTGAGCAAGCAGAAACCGGGTTTAGTCGTTCTGTCTCGAGGATCAAAAGGGCAAATCCATTGCAAAAGAACGACAGGTTTCCCAAGTACTGGGACTCCCTGAAATCCCCCAATCTACAGCTGAACATTGCAACCGAGAAGATATCGCCAAGACGGAGAAGCATTGAACTCCACTTGGCCGCCATTGTTGCAGTCATTCTGCAGGCATCCCTTCTTGTCATAGCTGGTGTAGTCCCTTACCGTGCTGAGGGCTACGAGTCTCAACCTTGGGGACTTCCCTGCTATATCGGTGGCTCGGTTCTTCTTTTCATTGGTATGCTTGCATGCTCTGTTGCTATTGAACGAAGCACAAAGGAGTTCAAATGGAGGCCCAGCTCAGGCATCACTAATGAGACACGGAAGCCCTCTGAAGTCCGGGATCAATCCATGGATTTGTTTTGGGTACAACGGACGCAGCGCGTCAGTGATCAGGACTTCGACTCCTACGTGATCTCTTCCCGAAATAAGCAGTTTATCTCAACTTCTAGTCGACGAGAAGATGTTCTCTCGGGAATGAACGACACGGGAAACAGAGGATCTAGCCAAATCAAAACCGACCCCATTGATGACGAAACAACCAACAAGCCAACAGCGAAAACGCCAGTCGATTCTGACGAAGACCGGAGACTGGAGTCAGACTTTCTAGCAGTAACTGCGATCTTCGCTGGTGGTGCGGGTTTCACAATTCAGTTCATTGGCCTCAGGGGATTACCATGGCCTTGTGCTGTTGCTCAGCTTGGTGCCATTATCGCTATGGCTATAATCAGGGCCCTAGTCCGCCGAAGGCTCGGAGACGATCCAAACTATTGCCATGCACCTTCTCGGTATGAGCTAGACCTACTCGCTACTCAACTCGTCGAATTCTCAAGCCCACGACCTCCTAACCAACCTTTTAAGCCTCCTCAAAAAGACTGGACGTGGAGAGTTGATACCGCAAAGCATCGACTACAGAGCATATACTCATTTCGTATTGGACACTGTTTGAATCAAAGTGTCTCGAGCTTGACTAAGGAGGATTCTACTTCTTCCCAGTCCGATCAATCTAACGAGGCTCAGCGGATCATGCTTGTTCGAAAGCGATTAGGAGATCTAGTTCGATGGGAGACGGAAGCATTCAAGCCAGCTCTGGCATTAGCTCGTTCCATCGAGCGATTTCTGGACGAGTTCATGCCTGTTGCGTCGGACAAGAATCTAATAGAATGGAAAGTTCCTATGAAAGACTCGAAAGATAAGCGATGTGTTGTGACACTTGCAATCACGAAGAAAGGCTCAAGTGGCTGGAAGATCAAAGTTGGCGAGGTTGAAGCCATCTTGTCACTATGGATGGCCCACCTGGATGCAACTAAAGCGGCAAAAACGAAGGACAAAGAACATACTGACTGGCAAAGATCCAAAGCTGGTGTAGCACTGGGAGTTGACTACTGCAGGATTCTTGGCCCTAGTGACCAACGCGGTGTCTTGGAGCGAGACATCAAGTGGTGGGTGGGCAATCCGGCTGTGACCGAGATTACCATGGCCAAGAAAATGGAGGAGGGAACAACTAGCTCCAGGCATCAAACTTGCGAGGCTTCATATCATTGCGATGATCCAGGGCATGATGATATCAATATGGTTATTGGCTTTATGGGACCACTCCAGCCTGAAAACACTCACAAGCTACTCGTACAGCACTCTACGGCTGGCCTAGCCACCATTGCTGCCCAGCACCTCTTCACTAGTTTCGTATGGACGGTTGTTGATCTGGATCAACTACCGAAAGACTTCCTCGATCAAGGCTCCATAAACATCCACGAATCTGTCAGCATTCAACCACCTAAGCCCTTAGATTTGGAGTCAAGCAAACTTGGCACAGGCCGAAAGCTGAGCCATACTAAACTGACCAGATTCGCGCTTCATGCTGAGAAAGAGGGTCTTGGAGTACTGGATGACATACTTTTGTGCCTCATCCCCATCTTTAGCCTCAAAGATGTTCTCCCCAACGACGTTGTACTGAAACTTGACTTGCCTGGCCTGCGTGGGCGAAGCTCATGGGTAAAAGACGCACCAGCTTACTTGGCTCTCCTAAAGTTCATGGCAAAGGATTCTATATGCCGTTTCGACGACTACCTATCATTGGCTTCAGTAGTCCACGCATTGGACTATATCTACCTGATGGCTCTCGATGATCAAAATATGGCTTATGGGAAGGCTTTGCCTGTAGTGGATGATAGAGCCTCCGCTCCCAAGCCGGATGACTCCAGTGCGAACTCCAAGTCTCTTAGCCGACAGTCTTCTGGCGACATTCAAAAGCTGTTGGATCATATCTCTCAGTTCTACCCAGACGCAGTCAAGAAACTCTCGGTATTTTACGAATTGCAAGGACGAAAAGACTTCCTCTGTAAGCTTGAGAGCCGCTGTGGGGAGATAAAGAAACCTTGGTCGCACGTGTATGACGACGAGAAGGAAAGCTTGATGAAACAAATCAGATTCACGTTTCTCCATGACCAGGCTTCCAACATGGCCCCTATAGATCTGCGGTCATTTCAAGGTATGAGACACTGTATCACGGAGGCACGGAGAGCTTTCTTACTTACTAGAACTTAGGGAAGGATTGGAAGAAGCGAGACATATTTGGCTGGACAGCTCTGCATTATGCTGCTTCTTGCAAGGAGTTTAACCTTGTCGAGGAGTGCCAGCATCACATCATGCGTAACAGTCACCTTGATGGTTGTCTCAAAGCCCTTATGCGGCAGAGCCACCCACAGACATGGTGGTTCGACAATCTTGGCAGAAGCCCAATTCATGTGGCTTGCTTGACAGGAAACCATAGTTTTCTTCAGAGACTGTTAGCAAGCCTGTCAGATCAGGATGCACGATCAAGCCTAGAAACGAAAGGATTAGATGGGATGACCCCATTACACCTTTCTGTGCTGGGAGGTCACCCAAAGTGCATCGAGGTCATTACGAATACTGGCCATTTACAGGAATTCGAACTACCGACAGATTATTGGAAGCGGAATCCAGTTCATTTCGCCGTCGCGAAGGGTGAGTATGAGTGCTGTCAAAAGCTAATTTACAACGGCAAGCTCAAGTTCAGCCTATATACTCTCGATATCCATGGGAAATCGCTCTTCTCGTACCTTGACGACGAGAACGACGTGCAAAGATCAGTCGGGCAACTACTTCTTAAGGTTCACTCGAAAGCCTTCGAGCGAAAAGACAATGAAGGCCAATCTATTTGGCATCTCGCGATCAAGTTCCTAGACGAAGACTCGATAGAAAGATTGAAGGACCAACACAAATCGACAATCGACAACAGCAACAACAATGGCGAGACCCCGCTGCACCTCGCCGTCAAGCGTAAGGACAAGAAGCTCGTCGATTGTTTGCTGGGACTTGGAGCAAAAGCAGGTATTAATGCGGCAAAAGATCAGTCTCCATTGATGTTTGCCTGCTCCCATGGCGAAGCGAAAATGGTCCAGTCCATGATTAACAAGCAAGCTGCAAATGATGTGGATAAGGACGGAAAGTCTCCATTGCACTATGTGCTTGAGTGCAAAAGCTGCAACGACGAGGATCGAGAGAAGATCGTCAAATGGCTTGTGTCAGCCATGAAAAATGTCGACGTCGAGGATCAACGGGGCTGTACGCCGCTACATGTTGCGTGTCAGAGCTTCAAGAGCTCAATAGTTTCTGTTCTTGTTGAGAAAGGGGCTAATCCGGGTATCAAGGATGACGAAGGCAACAATGCTCTTCATTATGCAGTAGGACTTCGGCTGCAGGTTGGTGGAGCAACATTTACCTGGAGAGAAGATGTTGCCAGGAAACTTTTGAAGAGGTCACCTGACTGCATCAGGGACCAGAATGAGAAGGGACATACAGCATTGTTCTTAGCACTTATGCAAGGCGAGGAAGATGCTAGTATTTTTCTCCTAAAGAGCGGCGCTGACCCTCAAGTCATTACTGAGAAACAGTATTTGACACCATTCATGTGGGCATGTCTGAATGGCGGCCCACTGAGATTCATCTCAACGGTCCTCGAGATGGCTGAACAACAAGATGGTGGCTTTGACATCAATCAAGGCGATTCGCGGTTTGATAAATCACCCCTAGCATGGGCGTGCCAAGGAAACAGTACCGAGGTCGTCAAGCTATTGCTCGAGGCTCGCAAGTCAGTCCAACTTGAAGACAAGCTAGACCTTAACAGAAAAGCCACAAGATACAGCAATTTTACGCCACTCCATTTCGTTATGGTCAACGAGAACCATGAAATTCTGGAAATGCTGCTCGATGACCCCAGAATTATGCGTGGATTGGGTGCAGCCAAGTGTGATGGTCTCAATCTTCTAGAGTTCGCTTTTGAACAATCACATCCGAGGTGTCTGACCACATTACTGTTGCACCATCACACGAAGTCTACCGTGTTCTTCATGAGTGGCTGGGAACGAATTGTTCAGAAACACGCTAGTTTGGTCGACAGCGTCGAACTCTGGGAAGAATGGGAGCGCGCCATCCTTAATCCAAAACACAAATTGCGGTTTCCTATTCATAGACTGGCTGAAGCTGGTCGACAAGAGAGGATCGAAGCACTTCGCCATAGTGGTATGAACGTTCATGAACTTGACGAAGACAACTGGACACCCGCCGATGTCGCTGCCAGGTACCGTCACAAGGAACTCGAAGAGCTTCTTCGCAAAGACATTTCCACAAGAGACCTCACTACACATAAGTACTGCGAACCATCGACTTTCATTAATGTTTACGAGGGACCAGAACTTACGACATCACCATGTCACGCAGAAAGGCCATCATTTTCTTTCATCCTAGGTTGGTGGTTTCTCTATTGCGCTATGGCTTGTTACTGATACATATTCTCAATTAGACGTTAGTGTGCCGCCAACAGCAGACGGGATGGGTTGCTATCTTCGCACTCAAGAGGCGATTCCTCCCGACTCGGAATGCTTTTACTATGAAATAGAGGTCCTCCATGTTAGCAATCAAACGTGAGTCATTCCCATGTCTCTTGCTTCTTTTGTTCATACATCTTTGCTTCACATTGTGCTAATGTTTTGAATCAAGTCACTGTGTTTTTGGCTTCTGTCAGTCTTTCGTTCCTCAAAAGTCGCTGCCAGGCTGGCATGAAGGATCGTGGGCCTATCATGGAGATGATGGTGGATTATTTGTAGAGGAAGGATGGCGTACAAATCGAGAAAGTGACCAGACTTTCGAAGTAGGCGATGTTGTAGGCTGTGGTATGAATTTCGAAACTGGTAAGGGATATCGCACGAAGAATGGGGTCCTCCTTGATTCTGGTAAGTTCATGCCGTGCAGCAGGATAAAGGAAGCACTTCTGACTCAAAACTAGGCAATGCGTTTGAAAATCACAACTTCTTGACGGGCAAATTCTATCCTTGTCTAGGATTTGGTGCCAATACCCAAGGAACTGAGATGCGAATCCGCGTTGCGTTGCGAGCTCCTGAAGGATATCCTTTTTGTTTTAAAGGACCATACGATGGACGGCCTTCAGAACAGAAAATGCAGCCATCGGAGTAGGTTTCAGGCGAATAAACTTCTTGATGGGTTGCTCGGCATGCGGATAAGCGAGCACGGGATTCGTCAGCCATCATAGGACTTATGGACCATACAAGTGTTGTCAGGAACGGGTCTCTGAATGCTCTCCACTCTCAATCAAGGTGGCAATAGTAATATCGATGTAATATGTTTCTCTTGAAGTGAACTTAAACTGCAAACAAATTCGTATCTCATCCGTATCTATCAAAGCCCTTCCTTCAGCCGACAAGGCCTAAAATTTGACCTTTGGTGAAAGACGAATTCAGCCCTGAAGGCCGTCGGCTATCATCGCATTCACAAGCTGAACATGTCGATTGGCGTTCGTCTCACTCCACTCATTATCATAGTTAAGACCATAGGGCCAAATATGTCCTCCGCCACAGTTGATACGAACACCAGCACCGTCCCAAGATTGAAGCAGGGGAGTCGCTGTGCGCCAGTCATTCGCAGCACACTTTCTATCAAAAGCCGCAGTCTGGCCAATTCCAAGAGTGTGAGAGATCTCATGCAAAGCGGTGCGTTCGCTCATGTAAGATCTGTTGGAACCGAAGCGGAGACTGCCATTGAAGTTGGCATCGGCTGTTGGGACGCCAGGAACGTAGGAGACGCGAATGGTCTTAGTGGCTCTACCCAAACGGTTGTATCGCGCTGCTGCGAGGCGCATGGCATTCTCAATGCGGCTGTAGGCATCGGCTTGGTCGGCTGATGGGTTGGAGACCTTCTCTAGGGACCAGTTGATGGCGGCTGAAGTGGTGGAAACGCATGCCACGAGGGCAGTGAACATAGTAGAAAACCGCATGACGAATGTTCGTGAGAATGAATACCGTGGTGATGAGCACGCCTCGTGGAAATGTTGATACTCAAGGCTCTAAATACTTCTCACAGGTGAGTCTATAGCATACCGCTACTATATCAGCTTCCATAATCTGCATTATTCCCGTCGATCAACTTGACCCTTATCATTTCGAGGTTTCATCTATCGGCTCACATGGCCACTTTTGTAAAATGATACGGAGTATCTTCATCCGATTGTCCTGTTCGAAACATATCTAAAGCTTACGATTGGGCAGGATGCTGCTCAGACCACTTTAGTGATGAAACCCTGCGAGGGTTGCTAGAGTGTTGAAGCGATCGAATCCCAGCCCAGCGGAACATTTCGAGAGAAACAACTCTAATTGCGAGCCTGATGAGCTAAACAGTAGCTTATTTCAATATTGTCCATTCTAAATCAACTTTGAGGTTGAAGTCCTTGAGCAGTCAAGTACTTATCTCCCGATGATCAAAAAAGAAATGCAGCTATCCTTGGTAATCATGAAGAGCAAAGCAAGATATTAATAAACCCTCTCCAACAAGTCACTGGCGATCACTACAGTATACGGAAGGTGTGATAGCATCGCGCCTTGGTCTTAGATTGCCAAGACGATGAACGGAATACTGGAGCAAAACGGAACAATTAAAGGCGAGGGGAGACAAGGTCACAGGTTGGGACTTATCCATCCATTGGTGGAACAACAGCTTAGTGTATCTTTGAAACCGACCAGCGTGCCTTATTTCACTACCGAAGCCTACCTCGCGAGAAACATAAGGGACAAATAATACCATAACGCGTGATCAATGTTAATGATTAATAATAACAAACGAATTTATCAGCTCTGGCCTTGACCCTGTTTGGCGGCCGTGTAGAGGACTTATACAGCAATTCCGTTTCTCGTGCATTCATTGATCAACCTCTTGGCATCGACGATCTGCTCGACTTTGCCATTCCCCGCCCACTTGACAAGCTTCGACCTGCCCGATTGTGCCCGTGCTACCGGCCATCCATCCCTCTCCAAACCGTGAACAGGATCACTGGCAAAACTGAGGTAGAGATCTTGCATTCTCTCACTGACCTTTCGCTCGAATTTGGTTGATGGGCCCTCAATATCGTGTGTACCGAAGATCTGAGGCAATTCAGCCGTATGATACGCGCCCAGCCAGGGTAGAGGGGAAACGTTGGTGAAGTTACCCGCATAAAGGTACTGGAAAGTTCTGGCACCTGCTTCAGATCTCAGACGGCTTTCTTTGAGGGTAGTGCATTGGAGATTGAGGCCAAACCCATTGGCAACAGGCTTGAGGTTGGCCGGTATCTCTGTAGCTGTTTCGTAGCCGGGAAAGTTGTAGGGAATGACGGCAGCTCCTTCATTCGTGTTGGTTCCAATCAAGAGAGGAACCTTTGTTGGGAATTTGGATGAGCCTGCAGTGATTCTCCCGGTGTAATTGGCGAAAGCGGTGACATTATCTGGTATAAGTGAGAACCCAAGGCCGTCATCAGCAGCACCTCCCTGACCGAGTTCTGCCTGAAGATATTCCTTGAGCTTATGTTCGGGGACCCCTCTCATGCACTGGAGCTCTTTTTCAGGCGATAAGTCGCCGCATCCCAGGTGCTTCGCGGCGATAGAAAAGGTACTGTGGTTTCTGGCATCCCCCAGACTTCCCTCAATCGCCAAGGCGTTCCCAGAATCTGCTATGACACCCTTGACAATCGGGTTGCGAGGCCATGCAAACAGATAGCCATCCGTAGCATATGCGCCTGCGCTTTCACCCCAGAGCGTGATGCGGTTGGGATCGCCGCCGAATCGAGCAATATTATCTCGTACCCATTCGACAGCGAGACGTTGGTCAAGCAGCGCCAGGTTCAAGTTCTTTCCTTCTTTTGCTAATCCCGCAGCATTCGGTAATCCGAAGATATTGAGTCGATACTGGGTCTGTACAACGATGTGCTTCTGACTTCGCTGAACCCAGGGTTGGGCAAGTTGATACGGGACGTTGGTGCCCCCAATCATATAGCCACCTCCGTGAATCCAGATCACGACAGGCAACCGTCCATCTTTCGCGCCTTTCTTTTCGGCGATAGAGCTCTTGGGGATGAACAAAGAGAGTCTCAAACAATCTTCAGTGGTATTCGCGTAGTCTCCCCGCTGGAAGTTGGCAGCAGAAACGAGGCTATCAGCAACAGTACCTCTGAGCAACAGAGGCACGTATTGAATACATCCCCGTGGGAGTTTTGTTGCTTGAATGACTTTATCTCCAGGATATTTCTTTGCAACAGGTGGCGCGAATCTGAGATCTCCGACCGGAGTGTCTGCGAATGGGATATCAAGAAATGCGGCAACGTCTGGGTAAGATGGTTCAAAGAATGGTGCAAAGATACCAGAGCTTGTATTGAAACTCAATGAGTTGTCTCCATATTTGCTGGCTGTCCATGCGCTCGCCAGAAGTGGCAGCGATACTAGGGCGAGAAAGTTGAGATGCATGATGGTCTTGTTGCGTGGCTGTCAGCGATGCGTTGACAACGGTGTAAACAGTTGATATGATATCTTATATACACGACCCGCATCAACAAGTAAATTTCGCATACAGAATCTCCTAGTCGAATAATTCACCATTCTTAATAATCACGACTTGCACTATGAGCTCCAAGGTCTTTAACTCCGATAGAACCAAGTATCATCGGCGCTTATATCCGCTCCGCATGTTAATCAAGCACTGAAGAACAGGTAAAGACGGATCGCTTAGAATTAAATCGGTTTAAACCTATGGTTTATTATTAATAGTGATTTATAATGACAAATATTCTATAAGTTAAGTCCTTCTAAGTCCATTCTATAAGCGCCGGACAATTTGCGTTGTCCAAAGTCCGGTAGTCAGCTTACTACTAGTCAAGCTACCAAAAAGCCAGGTGAACAATTGAATGCGGTAGCCCCAATAGATCCTTTCTATGAACTACGGTCCCGGCCTTTCTGAGGCATGGTAGCGGGCTGATTGTCCACCTGAAGACCAGTTGGTTGATGATCAATGCTTCCAATGCGTCCGGGACAGCAAACGAAACAACAGAAACGGCGTATCTGGATATCAGAGTAGAGATCCAGCCATGCTCTCACTTCCTCTGGAGCTATTGAGTTCTCAGAAGTTTTGGCTTGTCAGAAATTCTCTGCGGGTGAGCGGCGATATGAAGTTTGGCTCCCTGCCGTGACCAAGCCAGCTGAGTTGCGCTCTTTCATGGTCGCTCATCCATGTGATCTCGGTCACGTAGAAGTTCTCTCAACTGCTCCAGCGACTTCGTAATGGTAGCTTTCCTGACAGCATCTCGATCCCCCGGAAAGTAAAACGGCCCAAAGGCCCTATCCTGACCGGCCCTCGAGATTCCAATAAACACCGTCCCAGGTGCTTTTCCTTCCTCAGTACCGGGTCCTGCCACACCCGTAGTACTGAGTCCCCACGTCGTTGGCGTATCGAGCGTTGTGATGCTGCGAGCGCCAGCAGCCATTTGTTCCACGACTTCCCCATTGATAGCGCCGTGTTTCGTGATGATAGATTGACTAACTCCGAGTATGTTGACCTTTATGCCAATGCTGTAGGAAACTATGCCGCCGCGACAGACAGAACTTGCGCCTTCGACTGCTGTGAGGGCGGCCATGATACTCCCGCCTGTTAAGGACTCGGCGACACCGACAGTTTCTTTCTCTTCTTTTAGAAGTCGTATTACATCTTTGGCGATATCTGTGATGGTTTCTGAGCTTCGTTTCACGTAATTCAATGTTGCCATATTGGCGTTTTGTTTGAGGTTGATCGACAAGTTGGATCTGATAACCTTATTCGTAGCTTCGATAGGCAGATCAGAGACACCATGCGGGTAAAGTCACACATGCGAAAAGAAAATTTTACACTTCGGGGTAATATTAGAGAAGTTGGTGGGCAAATTTGAAGAAAGTCTATGATGGTCTTATGACGTCCTGTTGAGCAATCTTGACGACATCAATTATATATCCAGTATTGACAATGACTCGTGTAAAACTTTAGACTCACTTCTTACAATGAATAGAATATCAAGAAATGCTGCTGCATGCAGGCAGTCTCGGTGACTATGAGATACGGGACATTCCTCAATGCCTGTGAGCCCGTGGCCGAACATCTGTGATCCGAGATCTGAATTAGAAGATGTCCTCTGATTAATAGACAAAGAATCTCTAATGCCGGAAGGGGTCATATTTTGCTTGTTGTATCTCAACTAACGATAATACTTTTAATCCATCAACTTGTCAAATGTAACCGCCAACTCCGTTGAATGCAGCGCTCTATCAACAACGCATGCCCATTCGCCTTCAAAATGCTCAAAATGCGACGTCCTTCCACTGACATCACTGTTTCTTGAACTTTTTCTGGATCTCTTCCTCTGTGAAGCGACGAGTCTTCGTCTCCAACATAGCAGCACGCTCATCCAACGACATAGCGATCTGCTCTCCCATAGGTACCAAGCACCTGGCCAGGGTCTTGTAATCCTTCATCATCAATCGAACGGTGACCATCATGTAGTCAATGTCGTGGAAGACAAGGGCGTGCTGTGATGCATAGGTGTGTTTTGTCTTCTGGAAAGAAACAGGATGCTCGCGCCAGTGACGGAGAGGGTTGAGATGGTGAGAGGTGTGATAACCATCGTTGTAGCAGAACCGGTTGCTCTATTCATAGTCAGTATACATTTACTCGTAAAATATGTGGGGTCGAACTTACAGCAACGTCGATCAGTGTGATACTCGATCGGTAATCAGAGTCGGGATCAACATCGTCAACGAAAGCATGCTGACCCCAGTTACCCGCCATCAGCCCAAGACGAAGAAGAAGCAGCGGCATAAGAAAGACGCAGATGGTGGCGTTTCTATGTAGGCTGAACATGGTGATAAGGAAAGCATAGTTGGAAAACTCCCAGAATCCAGCCTTCAAGCCAGTCATGGCCTTGCCATTTCGGATGAAGTAGATGGGAAGATCGGCCCAGACGAGGAAGAAGAATCGGCCGACGTAGTGAAGGAAGTGAAGAAGGCTGTCTCGCTGGTATCGGATAGTTGATGACAGATCGTTGGGTCCATTGCCCTCAACGTGATGATGCTTGACGTGGTGATAGAAGTAAGAGTTCCAAGTATGTCCCATCAAAGGATCAAGGATATATGGAAACAGATGATCAAAGATGGCAAATTTCTTGTCCAAAACACCTCTCATGTGAATATGCTGATGCATCAGCAAAGTATACGCTCCCATGTAAGAGAACTGCATGACAAAGTGAAGAATACCATGAATCCACGTGAAATTCGTGAACAAAAAGATGGCACTGGGAATCGTGGTTGAGAAGTAAAGAAGCAGATGCGTAAGCATAATGACATCAGTCTCAACCCTCACAACAGACCGCGCCAGGCGAATATAAGGTCTCAGCACGGTCTTCTCCAGGAATAGTGGTAGCTTGATTTGATCAATGTCCCAATTGGTCGTGACGCTTGGTTCAAAGTGCGCATCTTTGGGATCGTTCATTGCCTGGAGATGACGAAGCAGCTCTTCATCGCGGGCTACTGAGCTGTTAATTGGCTGGATATTAGATAGGCATGAGGTGATACGAACCGGTGGGTGTTGAGGTTAACGCCTCGGCATTGCTAGATGATGAATCCTTTATGTCTTGGCGGAGACCTTCGAGGATCAGCGCATCAGCTTTTGTCAGCTGAGGATGGAAGACGATAGTCTCCTCCATGTTGACTGTGTGGCAAATGGCCGAAACAGAGGATATCGTGGTGTGCTGCTACAAAGTAGCAAAGTTGAGAGTGAAAGGTAGCGTATCAGATAGGGGACTAAAGCTTCAATCGAAATCCAGGGTCCTCAGCTGATGGATGTTCTTGCAAGACCCTGAGTTAAAATCGCGAGAAACAGAAAAGTCACCCCTAAATCTGAAATAGAACAACCAATGGCAACATTCCAGGTAAGAAAATCAGTGGAGAAAGTATCTCGGTTCTATCCCTTTTTGGTCCACCGCTGGTCTCTTGGCAATCTCGGAAATAGCCAAGATGATCCCGCCCGTCTAGACCGTCTGGGTTTAGCCGGGGGTAAAAGGAGGTTGTAAATTGAGATTTCGCCAATGGCTGCCACTGGCAATAGGGAATAACTTACGATGGAGGAGCTCAAGGGTCCAATATCTAGTCAGAATTGGAGGTGAGAGTTTGGCAGTGTTGCAATGTCGATAATTCCGGGTGCGTGAATGTTGCCTCAGAGCCCGATGGGGTAACGCTTACTTTTTACTGACTCGATTGAAACATCGTATGATCTTTTTGGGCGGAAACTTATTTGTGAAAAAAAAAACACCGTCTCCTCATTATCTGTGTTTGCAGGCTAAAGTTTAACCTTATGGCCAGCAATCAGCTACGTAGTAGATATGATATTGGTCAATTCCGCCCCCGCTGATAATAGAGCAAAAGCAAAGTGAGGTAAAATACAAACCAGATGTGTTATTTGCAGTGGAGATCTGTGGCTGAGAGCTTATATCACCACACAGAACTTAGTAAAATACAAGCTTTGACACACAAGTTGGTGGTTTGGTTCATCCAATTGATACATGTTGAATGGAAATGGCCCAGAAACGTTAACTGAAGTCTTGTCCGATGCGACGGGCTTGGCCACAATCCACGCCACTCCAAAACTGGACAATGGGTTCTTGGCCCTGTGAACCAGAGCTACAGTACACTTGCTGGAAGCTTTTGATGAAGCGACAACCCGACCATGTCGCGGCTCAGTCAGTGATGCGATAACTTAGATTGCCATTGGATAAGAGCTGTTTTGGAGCGCCTTGACGTTGATCACTGGTTGACCAGCGCGTGCTGCTGTTACGCCTCGAGCGACACGCTGACCATGTTCCTGTCAACGGGCGGTCGTTACGGACCCACGAGTGACTGGGAAAGTAAAGTTTTGTTGATATTTGAATCTTTCCAATCGATTAAGTATATCTAGTCGAGTTTGTGTGTCGTAACATGTCATAAGCTTCAGTGAGCCGTCGTCTAATCTCTCCCTGCCAAATGCCCGTAGTCCAGTTTCCATGCAGATAAAACCCCGTATCCCTAAAAGTATTATTGAGAAGTGAAATGTTCGTAATGTCTCCAATCCAATACCGATCCAATGAGCCGTTTAGCAGCTGTACTCGATGTACACACCATTCTTGTCGCTCTGCTCGAGGAACACCTTTGTGTTGCCGTTGGGGTTTCGCAGCGCGGCCTTGAGGTAGACGGTGCTCTTGCAGTCGATGTTACCAACAATATGGGTCTGCGCGGGCAGGTCATCCCAGTTGGTGAAATCAGCAGCGCCGACAGGCTCCCCAGAAGTGTCAAACTCCTTCGCGGTGTTATGCGTAACAGCCTTGCCGGGGAAGCCAGAAAGCTGCTTGAACTCGGTCAAAGCATCTCCACCCTTGACGATGAAGAGACGCTCAGGCTGCTCACCCTGCGCCCAGCCAAGAGTGCACTTCTTAGCCTCGGCAGGAATGCCCGTGAAGACGAGGAGCTGCTCGATCTGAGATGCGTTGTTGTACGTGGCGACGTTGAAGCCGACGGACTTTTTCGCGACGTCGGGCGAGCCGGGGAAAACGCTGTACAGGGCTGATGGCTCCTGGCGGGTTGCTTTTCCAGTGGAGGGGCAGTTGCCGCTTGCGCGGGGTAGTGCTGTAGGTACAGCACCAGCGACAGCCAAAAGGCAAGTCAACGCAGTGAATGTGTTGGCGAGGAAAGACATCTTGCAGGTATTCGAGGTAGAGTTGAGGTGGCTCTGGAATGAAGACTGGAGCTCGGAACTGGTGGGAAGAATTAAGCATATTTATGAACCAAATCCCAACCTCCGAGATGATGATCAACCGTGCATCTCAAATCCCAAATAGCCAAGAATCGATCCTGTTGATCAGTGCTGCTGATTCGTGGCACAAGCAGGGATCGGGTGCAACTACAGCGAATCGTAAATCAGTGGCGGAGGTTTTTGTGTTTATGCGTACGATGCAGTAACAGCGCACCAAGAGGCCCAAAAATGGGGACCTCTCAGTAATTAGGCGGTCGGGGAAGGGCTGCGTCATGCATAACACGTACAATATTTCCAATATTGGTCGCTATTTTGGGTCTTGAGGGCATAGCCTTGTGCAACAATAAGCAATGGCTGAATGAATCGTGAAGGTTTACAACAGTGAGCTAAGATGTGAGCTCACGTCAAGCTGCAGGTGTCTGAAACAGCGAAACCCCGCAGAGTTACATCAATTCGAAGGCTGGCCAACTTTGTAATCTTATGGCCCGATGAGAATAATGTAGACAAAACACGGCAATCAACCATAATATTCCGTGGTCCAGAGCTCACCGGCATCTATTCAACCTGCTGACAACCCAGCCGCATGACGCGTTGCTGGTTAACATCGAGTCATTTCTTCCAGCGTGCCCGGCACATGAGTGTTAATACAGCAGAAATGCAGCCCGCACTTGAGGCTTGGCAAACAAAACAAAGTTCATCAGAGGCGTCCAAGATGTCCACAGTAAACAAGACCTGCCCCCTCTAGCCCTCATAATCATGTTTGCAACTCCACGTGACATCGAACTCCGCTACAGTGACTGCTTACAGTCATCATCTTCCGTAGTATAGTGGTCAGTATGCAAGCTTGTCACGCTTGAGACCCGGGTTCAATTCCCGGCGGGAGAGTTCCAGCCGCCTGTGAATACAGGCATTTATCTTTTTTCATAGCGCTTAAATCAATTGATGTCTTTTTGGTGGCATTGTGACCTGCAATGCGGTGATCTTTGAGTTTATATGAAATTTGGTATAGATGTTTCATTCTAACAGATAAACTTCGCTTGATACGCCACTTCGGGCTTATCTGATAAGCTGGGACCTAAAGAAATTTTTTCACTTCCACCATTTGCGTGGCTACCCTGTAATTGGCAATTATGGTTCATGGACAACATCAGAGTTTTGTGCCTCGCACGAGACTTCGATTTGTTCAATGCCTGGCTATAAGTTCATTTTCTCAATCCTGGCTTTTTGGTTGCTACAAAATAATTTCGCTATTTGCTTGTCATTTTGCCCAGTTATTCATTCTGTCTCTCTTGAGTCTGTATTGGCACTATTCCAGCGCCTGCCCTTTTGCCACAGAGCCAATGCTTGTCGCCCGCCTTCAGCGGTAAACCATGGGTTTCGACTCTTCAACTGGTCAACGAACCTAATTGACCTCTATTTTACTGACCTTGACATTTGCAAGATTGTTCAGCACGGAGAATTGACCCACGGGTCAACTCCATTGTCAACGTAATTCCCCTGCTGCGTATATAGATCCAAACTTGGAGATCCTCTCCAAGACAACGTGGCCGAGTGGTTAAGGCGATGCCCTGCTATCTCTTCTGAGACATCATAGGCATTGTGTTCGCACGCGTAGGTTCGAATCCTGCCGTTGTCGATTCTTTTTGCCTTTTGCCCATCTTTTTGCTCTTTTGCTCAGTAGAAACAAATTGCATATATTTTCGCTTTGTCGTGTCGTCGTGGTTGTACCGTCTCCGCTCTTGTCGATCGCGAAGCGCTGACAGGTTGACGATTTAGCTGTGGCTTCGGCCAAAACTCGATTTAATCCTACAATCTAGGTCTATCTTTATGCCTCTTCCGAGAATTTAAATACCTCGTCTTCCCTCCACCAACCTCTGTCATATAGCCACAGATTCAGTCCTTCAACAGTACCTTTACTCTCTGCATGTCCCTCCTTCAAATAGTTCAAACACTTCTGTACCTCTTCCTTATCATCCTGTTTATTCATAATGGTGTAGTGACCTCTCCATTTCTCTCGTCTATCTTGATCGCTCAGAAAAGACTCCCATTTGTCCCTCAATTCACTGCGTATGCTCAATGCCCTCTTCTGACCAGCATAGAGCTTGATGCCAACGCCTTTTCCCATTTCGTAAACGTCCTGATCTCCGACACCAATCGGAAATCTTGCTGTTCGAGCTGCGACATCCGCAATATCTGCCTTAACCTTTGACAGTTTGGAACCAGGTAACGCGTGGAACAGAGTGATATGAGCGTCGACCTTGAGCAATCGTGGAGGAAACCATTGCCTTCGCAGCGCAGTCATCTCATCATGGTGTCGCTTGTCGGTAAGAAGTGTCAGGATGTAAAGCTGTTCCTCGTCATTTGACCCTTTGGGAATGTGAGCCTCGCGACGTTGGTGCTGGAGATCGCTGGATTGGTGTAACTCTGCTGTACTTCTTTGTGAGACCGGGCCACGTCTTGCAATGGGATGCGTCGCAGGGACTGTCGTGACGGTCATTGCGGGTGAAACAAGGCTTCTAAAAATGCAGGAAGATCGAAACAACCTCATCTGTATGAAGAATATTTGAGAAATTTTGTTTAAATAGGTTCGATGCGAAAATCCAGCAGGCGGAAATCTTGGGATGAGGTGTTGACGTCAACGACCCAAACCTGGGATACCTAGCGCGCTCTTTGGAGTTTTCATATTCCGGGCAGATCTCCATAACGCAGAAGATCACTATTTTCTGATCAGAAGAATCTTTTGGGGACAAATAAGTATGCATCATGATATCATGGGCTGCACACATAACTGAAAGTATTGTTCTCTTGCATACTAATTGTTTGTTACTCAGTGCATGGAGTCACCTGAAGGTTGCCGATTGGCTGATTTGGGGCTTCTGCATTGATCCGAGATATTGATAAGGTATTTAAACAGTGTGTTGATGCTCGCTGTTCGAGACTCTTGCTGGCAGGGTCCATCTGCAAGGTCTCAAAAGCCGTGCCGTTATAACACGAAAGGTCGCAATCATGAGAATGTCGTCATGCAACCCGCCAATCACGGATTGAGTTATTTTTGACTCATGCTTGTCAGATAATAGCGTTCGAAAACAAAAGATTTCGCTTTGTCCAAAACAAGCTAGCTTTGCGCTGTTCTGATAATTATCGCAACTGACCCAATGAACAAGCGATATGGGGTCTTGCGGACGGGACCAAGATCCATCTTATGGGCTTCAGGGCTGAATGGTATGGATGCACCTGCCGAAGATGGGCGAACTTTTGGCTGGACAGGTTATTCGATAGCGAGCTGAGCGGTCACGATGCTCATTAGTCTTGAGTATAAGTAGCATCATCTATCGCTATCTGCGTGGTACGAAACTTCTTCCAAGAGCGATCCAACATGCCTCAATTAGTCTGGCTAGTAACAGCTACTACTTCGGGCCTCGGTGCCGCAGTGGTGCAGAACCTCACCGCGAGAGGTGATAAGGTCATCGCGACAGGAAGAGGGGCAACGGAACGGCTCAAGCATTTGCAGTCTGATGACGTGTTTCTTCTCGATCTTGATGTTACTGCGCCTCGAGCTGAGATCGACGAGCAAGTAAAGAGAGCCTGGGATGTTTGGGGACGCATCGATGTTCTCTTGAACAATGCTGGCATTTCAGCACCTAAGAGTATTGAGGAGGCAGAGTAGGTTACCTAACCTGGCATTGGTGACAGATACTGACAGTCTCGCAGCGACGACTTTGTTCGTAACGTCTTCGACGTCAACCTCTTTGGAACGGTACATGTTACTCAAGCTATCCTGCCATACTTCAGGGCCCTACAAAGCGGCACGGTTGCCTTCATCGGAGCTGGCGTGGGTTGGGGTCCGTTGCCATTCTTAGGCCATTACGCCGCTTCTAAGGCTGCTCTGGGTGCCTTTGTTGAATGCTTAGCCAAAGAGGTACGCCGCTTCAACATTCGGTGCATCATCTTCGAACCTGGTGGTTTCCCGTCTCAGCTCGGTCAACCTCGTGAAGGTTCAGTCGAAGGATTCGGGAAGTACAAGCCTGCTATAGATGCTTACAATCCCGGGTTTGAGGAGTTGATGGACGTGTTCATTTCGGATATTGGCCCGAATGTGCCAGGTGATATCAGTAAGTTGTCAGAGCGCATCGTGGATTGCGTCAAGGTCGAGGGGGCCAGTGCTGGAAGGCCGGAGCCGGTGAGAGTTATTCTTGGAAGTGATGCATTACGGTTGATAGAGCAGAAGTGTAAGGAGCAGCTTGAGCTTGCGAGTAGTTGGGAGGATGTCAGTCTTAGTACGGATCGGGATGGGCATGATCATGTTGCAAGTAAAGGAATGCTGCGTTTCTCATCAATTCTATAGTCTATAAGCGAATAAAATGGTCTTTATGCTAGGCTCAACAGACCTTTCCCGCAGAGTACTACCGAGGCACTTCATCTCAAACGGCACTCGGGACCTGTTGAGGCTCTAACATCATGCTCGCGGTAATCAGGAAATGCCCATCGAGTGCATCAATAAACGACATTTTGGAGCTCTGCATCGCGGAAGGTCCTTGCATATAAGGCTGAAGGCCATCCGCAAGAATGGTCGCATGTCGAATTCCCATCTCATCACCGATCCACCTCAGAGTTTTGGACATGTACTTTCTGGTTGCGTCATCGACAATGGTACACCGAGCAAGGGCATACATAGGATGAAGAAGTAATAGGCCTCCTACCAACCGGTCTGACTGGACAAGGGGAGTTCCGGCATTTGCTTGCTGGATGTAGGTCTCAATGTCGTGAGACAGATGGAACGGAATGGATGCCTTGATCCCCGCAGCCAGGTCATCAATTCGTTCTTTATATAGAGGAACAAGCTCATACTGTCCAAGGGAATTAGCAATATGTACGAGGTGGTCAAGATAGAGGGCGTGTATTGAACGCCATGAGTTCCATGCAGTTGCGACGTATACTGTTGAGCAAATTTAGCTTCAAACTCACATAAACGTGGTGGGAGTTTTAGCTTACTATCGAAGTACTTCTCAACTGGGCCGGCACAATAGAAAGTGGCCTCTTCTGATGTTGCCGGATCTTTCCAGACTTCACCGACCACTTCTGGATTCCAGCTAGGGGGCCGGTCATAGGCCCAGTACGTAATCTCATCATCAATCGCCAACAAGTCTTGTTGCAGCTCCAAAAGCTCCAACACGGGAGGAAAGGGATCGGTGAGTAGCTTCTCCGCTCGACTTGTCAGAGGTGACATCTTGATGATAATGTCATCTAGAGATCGACGATAGGTATCATCAAGAGGAGGGCACAGAATACCAGTGCCTGTTTGATGAGTCTGAGGATGTCGATGTAAGCATGTGCTTGTCCTTGATAGAGCATGAGATACGTACCATGATGCCTTTTGTGACGAGACGCATTCCGGGAGAATAGACGCTCACTTTCGATTCTGGTGCCGAACATGTAATGCCTTCTGAGAGGATGGACGCGAGCCCCCGAACATGAATTAGATGCTTGGTCGGAGAGGCATTGTCACTTGCTACAAGCTAATACTAGTCAACGAAAAGTCATCCCACGGCTGGTAAAAAACTAACCTCGTATAAACCCAATAGTACTGCGGTGAAGAAGTGCTCTACAGATGGACTCGCAGTTTGCTGTGACAAATCTGTGGTGTAATCAACTAAGACCTGTCCATACTGTCTTCGAACTAAACTCATCAGCGAGTCTCGCCTATAGCGGTTTGCGAGTGATGAAAGAACAACAATTCTGGCAGCTCTCATCAAAGTCGACGTTGGAGCAGAGGTAGCAAAGAGATAATGCATCCCATCGAGAAAACCACGTGAGTGACTTCGATCGCGAGATTGAACCACTAGATTATCAAGAAAGATATCGAGTGCAGTAGCCTCAAGAATGAAGTCAGTGCTGGGATGCCATCGCTCTAACGGCGGTGTTGAAGGCTGATAGTGTCGAAATAACAGTGAGGTGTTGTCTTTATAGCCAGGACATCGCCTGCGAGACTTTACACAGCGAAGGCAGTCCTGTTAAATCCGGCGTTAATGCTGCAGGGTTACAGGCTATGCCTGTTTGGTACTCACTGGACGAGTCTCATCGCACTGTCGCGAACGATTAGCAAGCTTGCCTTGATGAAGATCAGATCACGGCACCTTTTTACGCCGCTTTTTGCATGTCTCGCACGCGCGAGAGACGCCATAATTAACCATGTCAAGAGCAGCAGTCTAGAAAAATTGAGGAAATTTGTGAATCAGAAGTTGTGAATACGGTAGGTATTACAAACCGGTTGCTGACAAAACAGCGGATGTAAGCAGCACCTTAGAGTAGCTACTGTTGCCTAAGAATCACGTGGCTCCCTCAGCAATCTCCACCTACTCATTTTGGACTCTTATCTATTGACAATCGCAGCTGCAAGCATGAAAGTGAATATGGGATGAGGTTGCAGAGACGTTGAGCTGTTTTTTGACTTTTTGATACATACAGCAAACTATCGCTGGCCACCAAGACCAATGTGTCTTTGGCCGTTTGCTCGATACTTAAGATCTCACAACTTCTAGTGGCGACCTCGATTAAGACATCTTGGATTGAGGTCATCTACGTGTAAAATGTTTAGTGCCTACCTAGCCAAGGGTCATTACCATAGTCTCAACTGTTTACAGCTCAAGATGATCGCTGGCTTGGATGCAGCCACTGTTCGGTTGAGAGAGGTTGTCAATTATCTGTCTGCGCTTCCTTGTTTTGCCTTAATAACAGCTTGACATGATATCCTTCGGGCGAATGGTTTAGTGGTATAATACTCCCTTAGCATAATTCATCCGAATAATCTGGGAGTGGTCCAGGGTTCGATTCCCTGTTCGTCCATTGCAGGCGGTTTAATTCCGCCATTATTTATACCTTGTTTTTTGCACTTTTTGACATCTCGCACTGACGTCCAACTAAGAATCCCCACGAACCACGGTGGTGAAAAATAGCTCGAGGTTCTGCTTAAATAAGTTCACATGTCAAAGGTCCGGATTCTCTGTACCTGGTGCTGTATGGGACCTCTCGTTGGACACTGAACTGATCGTAAGCAATGAATAGTGACATATCAATGCACACTATTATATGCTCGACGGGAATTCAATAAGATTTCATGTCTCTACAGACACGCCAATAAGACTTGTCTGGCTCAGAATGTATTAAGAAATCACTATTGTTGACCGGTTAAACCGTATAACCTGCCTCCTTTACTTCTTATAAGCCATGGGCTAAACATCCAGTGGTAGTGGCAACGGGGTTGAACAAATTCCCTTACCTTTTAGCGTGCTTGATGTGACTTTAAAATTCAGTAAAAATATCAAGATCTTATGCATGCTCAATCTTTTCGCAAAAAACAAAAAACATACAACAGCGGGTATTCGCTGGTCATCACCGACCCAACTACTAGTCCGCCCCTCACTGGCTTGTCTATGGGAGAGCGGACGGGATCCCGAATTCTCAACAGTGGGTATGGTCGTATGTGCTGGCAGGTGTCTTTGTTGGGCTTATGTTTATCTTAACGTACACTCAGTCACGACATTGGTCCATCGGGCTTATCAAGCCAAACAAGCGTTCAATCAGACACTAACGCTCTGTTTTCCAGTGGCGACGAGAGATTCGCAACCTTGACGAAAAATCAGTTGACAGAGTAGCTGTGACGGCTGATAGTGAAGGCAGTGGCAATACCATGGGCAAACTTTGTTCGGCAGTGTCATGAACGCCAATGTTATTGAACATAAGAACGCTGTGTATCCCGTGTAAAGTAGCAAACGATATCCTGCCAGTCACTTGCGATTCACCCATATAAGTATAGTCTTTTGCCCTCCAACTATTGGGATTCTGTCTTTCTCCGCCAGACTACTCAGCAGCCTTCTGACACCGGATCAATCCATCAGTATTCCACTGCATACCAGAGCATTTCTACTCTAACAAAACCCTTCAGTGCTGAGATTTCCGCCACCGGACTAGCAACAACAGCCTATCCAGATATTCATCATGTCTCAATCCACAGGTGATCATCCACGTCGCAGCCTCCCCTTTCTCCCACCGGAGCTCACTCTTCGTATTATCGAGGAGTCTGAAGAGGCCTCTATATGCCTAGTAAACCATCTTTCGAAAGGCCATCTGCTGTGCGACGGTTTTCAGGAACATACCACAGTCATTTACCCCCGTAGTGATAGGAAGGAGGATGGCACATTTACTCGTGGAAAGTTCGAGGTACTTCCGATGCAGCATCGCTGCGTCGCGGGAGTGATCCAAGCATCAGATACACCCGCTCTCCCATTTGACCCTCGAGAAGATCAAACATCTTATGATACGAGGCAAAAGCTTCACCCCGAGGGATCTATCGGGCATCCTCAAAAAGCTCAAAAGTGGTCTTGTAACCGCAACTGACGAAAACAAATGGAGCAAATGGCTAAGAGGCTATCGACTTAATATCATGGGCTCTGCGTTGTGCCCAAAGTGGGAATTACTCACGAATCTCGAAACACTTTGTCTTGATATGACTGGGACCGTAGATAAGGGCAATTCAGTCCTACTGGGGCTGCGCACCAGGGAGATGGCGTGTCACCTAAATCTGAAGACGCTGATACTCCTAGGTGTCCCATGCCTGGCAAGATATGATTTCGAGACTCCAAATGGGGAAGAAGGAGAGGAATCTTGGCTTTGTTATCTCGAGGATAAGTCTACATTCATATCTAACTTAGGTGTTCAAACCCTCAACTATCTTTACCTCTTCAAGGGCCTTATGCGACCTGGTGGTCAGATCCATTTCATTACGCAGTTGCCACCAGGGACCGCGTATTGGCCTAATTTCAAGGATGTTGTGGTACTCACCGATGGCTTACAGTTATAGATGATTTTCTAGTCTATTCATCGGCGTTTTCTCTTTCTAGTTTTCCTTGTTGAGATTCGATTAAAGAGTTAGGGCTTTAATAGTCTGAAGCGACTGTCGGCGAGATGATAAATAAGACACAGAGTGCAGTCGAGGAAGGAAGTGGGCTTTCTACGATCGGTACATTTGATGAAACATTGAACTTAAAATAAAAGAATGTTAATAAGGATAAAAAAAAAAATATGAGGTAAATTATGAGCTTTGGTTGTTGATGCAACTTTGAGGATTTATGAATATGCGTAGTTATAGCCCTGAGTTGGACTCCAGGTAATAGTATCCCGAATTAAGATAAAGACCAGTGTATGGACTAAATTCTCCCATGGAGCTATCGCTAGCTAGATTATTGTTAAGAAATTACTGGGCAGGAGCGCACCAGTATGATCTGGTCTATTGTAATGGTAACTATCATTTCTTCCTTGGTTGGATGGTAATACTTTTAACGGGCATTACTCTAGTTGAAAAGTTCATAACATAGTTTCTTTGCATTCATATATTGTTGTCAGATCAGGCTGAAAACGCTGATACATCAAACTCATGAAGCGGGATGCATGAAGTCATATGAAAGCAAAAGTTCTCTCAAATGTCCGAGAATTCACGAGCAAAATCGTCGAGAAAGACATAATCTGACGTCTGCTTAAACCAGATATTACTGAGAATCCACGAACAGGCTGATTTCATGGTTGTAATTTGAGTCTTACTGCCTTACGTGGTGGTTGCTCAAGCGAACAGGATATCCCATTACGAACTGAGACCGCTAGCGTAACATTTTTAACCTTATTCAGCCACCCGTTCAGATGCATATACGAAGGTGATTAACCCAATCGTCATTGGAAATTCGGATATGAGGTTGTTTCACTACACAGCCACGTCTTAGACACCGACGTGGTTGCAACAGGGCGTGTTTTGGAGAATTGAGCCGTGCTGACTTTCGGGAACAGGTGATGGCAGTGCAGCAATCATCCGGTTACAGTAGAAGGGACTGGCGTATGTTACTGAAACAGGAAACAGCCGAATATTGGGGAGTGTAGGGCTGTGAATCCATCTGATGATGTATCATTCTTGGCAGATTCGCTTCGGCCAGTTCGCTTGTACCTTATCTCAACATGCACAAAGGGACTGTCTGCCTAAAATGCTACGCAACAGGCACCAAACAATTCCCTTGTTCTTATCACACAAACTAAGCATGACGTGGTAAAGCAGGTGACCTCGTCCTGCAAGTTTAAGTGGTGAGCATGTTTAAGCTTACACTGCCAAGACGCAAACTCGTATCTGAAGGTTTATTGTCCGCCGGCCCTGTAGAGCTTATCCGTACCCGCAGGATAGTTAGACCGAGTCCCCGATCACTTTCGGCCAGGAATCTCGACCCTGAAGACTGTGCCTTGCAGGTGCAGATTCCCAGGAGCAAAAGCACCATGGCGGTCTTGGCCGGATTTAGAATGGAACCAATGCAAGCTCTAAATCCTGGTAAAAGTGTGATGGGTCCTGCAATTGGCCACCCAAGTTCGTACACGTCAAAAAGGGCATTGACCTATCAGGGGGCGTGAAATCAGGCTATTTGATAAGCCAGCACAAAAGACTGGCCTCGAACAATGCAGACAATAAAGAGTACAGCTAGCCTTGTGCGGTCTTGTGCAAGACTGCTGCGGCTGAACAATTGCCAAGAAGAGTCGGTGTCAATAGACAAAGTCAATAGGCAAAAAGTTTAAAACAGGACAACGTTGTGATCAACGTTTACAGCGTTGATCGACACATACACAACTGAAAACCGCAAGCTCATTTCATCGAGATTTTGTAATTCGAGCGACCAAAACGTGGCGTTACGGCAAGGGCAGCCGCTTAGCGAGCGATGATATGACATTGAGCGGGTGCGCGACGGTCGGCCTCTATTACGTTAGCCTGAACCACACCCAGCTGCGCCAAAAAGAGCGCTATTTGGTGATAAGCGCCCTGCAATTGGTCAACCTGTAGGCTATCGATTCAACAGTGGCAATCCCAGCTGGGTGACATTCAGATGCCGAGGCTGCCGTGATAGAAGAGGAGGGTCTGTGAGCTGACCAAAGCTTTCAGGGCCAAGTCAAGGTCAAGGTCGAGATTGTCGAAGATGAGATCATGAAGTTGCTGGGCCTGTTGCTGTAGGTAAGCGATCGACAATGTAGGTACATTAGTGATACGATAGCCTCCAAGGTGACTGGTGAGAAAGCGAGACTATTGAATGATGATCCGTCCAGAGCCAACAGTTCTAGCTCGTCATTAGAGAGGAAAATAATGAACGGAGATGCCGTTGATTAAATGATAATTCATGAATCTCCCTTGTTTACAGTCACGATGCAAGTAAAATGAGGCCATCGAGTTTTACGAGGTTTTCGAGGTACGTACCAGGAATGCCCCTTGTAAAATCGCATCAGAGTTCAGATCCAGCAGCACCAAAACGGCACCTTAGCCGGAACCGTAGCACGCTGGGTGCACTAAAATCTCAGAATAAATAGCGCTACGCAACAGTTGAAAGTCCGGAACCCGTTCCCCCCCTCTTCTCTGCATAATGACCCCTGAACCATGACGCTAATCAAGGGTTCATAACTTACCCCATTTCTAACAAGGGCCGATAATCTTCAACACGCTTTTCTCTCCCTCTTGCTCACCAAGCAATTAACCGACCGTCTTGGCTTTGGGAGTCTCGAAGGTGCCTGGCCTTTTCCCATCTTGGTCGGCAGCCACACAATGCCTGTTCGGTCGTTTATACGGAGGTTGCGTGAATGGCAATTTACAAGGTATGACCTCGATTTAGAAGCGCAGACACATAGACCCTCGCCCGTCTGGGCGCACCCATTCAAGCTCCTCGGCCACTGTAAGTTTGAGTGTCTTTTTTTTGTCCAGTGTCGATAGTGTTGCCAATAGTCTGGAAGTAAGGGGGCCAAGATTTACAACTGCACAGCCCAATTCTCCCTTGGTATCCAGTTCCACGCTCACACCGCATGATATGCCTTTTCCTACGGTCTAGCCTTTTCTTTTTGTTCCTTTGGCATGCCGTAATACGGCGAGAGCAGTCTTGGTTAGAATGTGACCAACAGACTCTTGTGGTCTAGACCCCGGAGGTTAAATCTGTTGGTCCCCAAATTGGCCTCTTTTATTTTCCTAGAAATACGAGATGCCGCTACCTTATTCTGTGCTCAAGATTAGACTACTCAACCCCCTGGCCCGCTACCGCATGTCACTGCGATCGCTCATAAAGCCATTGTCGTCTGAATCCTTCCCTTGTTTGGTCGTGGGCGTCCTGTTCGGCCATCAAACTTCCACGCCACTCATTTTACCTTAATACCTTATTTTCTTTTCCCTCCTTTACCTCCTCACTCTCTTCTTCACCTTCAAGCTGCAAGGACATATGCGCTTGTTAACCAAAATGGCAGCTCTACTGAGGAATCGTCTCCTCATTTTCATCTTCACCATTTTGATGGTGTCGTACCTCATGACAACTGCTTCAGCTGCCCCATCCGAAAGAGCAGATGTCCAGTATGATGTCGTCATCTACGGCAACACAGTCGCTGCGATAGCAGCTGCTGTGCAGACCAAGCGCATGAAGAAGAGTGTTGCTATCGTCTTCCCCGGTAACACGCTGGGTGGTCTGACATCATCTGGTCTTGGATGGACAGACTCCAAGAAGGGAAGCTCTATCGGTGGCATTGCCAGGGAGTTTTACGGCAAGGTCTATACCTATTACCAGAAGAGTACCGCATGGACACAGGAGACGCGCTCGGGATATATTGGACGAAAGATTGGAGCTCAGCCCGGTCCTGCTATTGATGAGAGCAAGAAGGTTCAGTGGACCTTCGAACCCAAGGTTGCTGAGTCCATTCTTGAGAAGTGGATGAAGGATGGAAAGATTCCTATCTTCCGCAACCAGCCCATTGATCGATCCAGCAGCGGTGTGACCAAGAAGAATGGTCAAATCACCTCTTTCAGAACTACCAAGGGAAGTGTCTTCCAGGGCAAGATGTTCATCGACGCTAGCTACGAGGGTGACCTCATGGAGGCCGCTGGTATCTCATACAGCACTGGACGTGAGAGCATCAGTGACTACAACGAAGATGCCGCTGGTTTCCGACCCGGCGGCTCTGATCAACTCTCAAAGGTTGACCCCTGGAAGAAGAAGGGCGATTCAAGCAGTGGCCTCATCGAGGGTGTTGGCCGAGTTGTCAAGGATGCCGTTTCCCTCAAGGGTAGGGGCGATGACTATCGTCTTCAATCTTACAACTTCCGCATGACTCTCACCAAGCAGACCAACAACAGGATCCCCTTCACCAAGCCCGCCGACTACGTCGAGTCTCGTTATGAGCTCCTCTTTCGTTACTACGAATCTGGATACACTGGAACTCCTTTCACATCACAGCTCATGCCCAACATCAAGACTGACTCTAATGCTCAGAGCCAAGTCAGCACCGATATGATTGGCGCTAACTACGATGATGATGGCAACTACGCTCTCTGGTCTTATGACAAGCGTAGACAGATCTACCTTACACACAAGTCTTACACTCAGGGTTTCTTCTGGGCTATGGCCAACCATCCCCGTATTCCCAAGTCTCTGCGTGATAGAGTCAATGAATGGGGATACGCCAAGGATGAGTACACCAAGAATGGCAACTGGCCTTATGAGATCTACATCCGAGAGGGACGTCGCATGAACGGTGTCTACACCATGCGCCAAAGCGACATTCAGACTCCCCCATCCCGACCAAACCACAGCATCGGTATGGGTGCGTACTCTCTCGATGTTCACCAAGTCGAGCGAATCGTTTACAATGGAGAGATCCGCGACGAGGGCAAAGTCCACATCGCTACTCCCGGCCCCTTCAACATTCCTCTTCAGGCTCTTCTCCCCAAGCCCAGCGATGCGACAAACTTCCTCAACCCCGTTACAATGAGCGCTACTCACATCGCTTACTCAGCTATCCGCATGGAGCCCACATATATGGTCATGGGCCAGGGTGCTGCTACTGCGGCGTGCCTTGCTATCGACCAGGGCGTGAACATCCAAGACGTGGATATGTCCACAGTGATTGCGAGACTCAAGGCCGACAAGGCTGTGCTTTCATAGACTAGCGAGTTCTGATACCATTTTTGCATAATTAAGTTATTGTAATACGATCATACATCTTTTTCTCATCTCTAAGCGTGAACAGTATGTGCTCAAGATGAGGGGGAATTGAGGCCTCAAGCCTTGACATCATGATAGAAACCATATTGCCTCAGTAATAGATCAGCAATCTTCGACAACGATTGAGGCGCTAACCCCCTGACAGGGCGGCCAAGTCTAAAAACGCCTCTGACGATAAGGAATTTCCGTTCCGTGGTCCGAAGTTCGTATAATCGCCAATCAGCTGAGGTAGCGCGCCACAAAGAATGGCAGACAAACCTAATTTAGCATTGGAGTGTTTCAGCCTGACCGTTCAAATTAACAACCTATTCTGAATTGCATTAGAGTTATGAATATACATAAATGAAGATCTTTCTGGTACATAACCGACTCAAGGTGTTCATTCTTCCGCGTCGCTGCCCAAAGTCTTGAAGGAGTGAGCAGAAATCGTGACGTATGCAATCCCCAAAGGCATTAAATATCCCTTCTTATTGGATGTTCCGTTCATATGGTGTATGAAAATCTCCTCTCAAGTAGTCGCGACTTCGTCTCGTGGATGGTAGCGAACCATGAGCTTCGGCTTCTCCCAGAGGAGATGCAACCTGACATCCGCGAGCCAATCGAGATCCTGATTGACAAACTCCCAATCGTACTTCCAAACAAGCGAGGCCATTGTCACCCTCGCCTCCATGTACGCAAGATTGATACCCAGACAACCTCGAGGGCCAAGCGAAAAGGGTTTACTAGCCTCTTTCCGATCTCCAAAACCCTCACCGATCCATCGTTCTGGTAGAAACTCATCTGGTCTAATGAAGTTGCGCTCATCATGCGTCGTTGCAAATCCATCGACAGATACAACGACGCCTTTAGGGACGTGGTGTCCGTCGATAGTGGCCCCTGTGCAGACACGCGGGGGACCAAATGGGACTGGAGGGAAGATACGAAGACCTTCTTCGATGACGCCGTTCAAGTATGGAAGATGAGCTACTGCATCGCCCGTGATCTCGTCTCGTGCCGAAAATGCCGAGCGCACTTCAGCCTGAAGGTTGGCCAACTTGTCAGGGTTCTTCAGCAGATAATAAGTTGTAGCAGCAAGTAGGTTTGCTGTCGTCTCAGACCCCGCGATCATGAGAACCTTGGCTTGCTCACGCAAATGAACAAGATCCAGGTTGTCACTTTCCTTCCTGAGGATATAAGCAAAGAAATCTTCACGGTCGCGGGAGTTTCCCATTCCGATTCGCTTCTTGATCTTCTCAGTTGTATGGATGTCGATCTTTTCTTTGAGATAGCTTGGCATCACAGACACGACTAGTGTCATTGGGATCTTGAAGCGGTTGATGAAGGGGAGAAAAGTGAGCGAAGAGATGAATCCAAGAAGCCAAGTTACCCATTCGCTAGGTCTCCATTGGTTCAGCGAGTCAAATGATTCGCCAAACGTCAGATCGCCTTGGGATTCTGGTCAGTCTTATTGGTGATGATGGGTGCTGAGGAGACTACTTACCGATAACGTCGAAGGTCAACCAGTTGAAGACCTCTGACATGTTGGCTCCTCCAGTCCCAGGTCCTGCATTTTGCCCGAGCCGTTCTAGGAGTAACTTGACGTGAAACTGTACAGACTCTTCATTATCCCTCAAGGCCTTTGCACTGAATGCATGAGCGAGAGATCTCCGCTGCAGCCGATGATCTCGTGGATCTCTAGTGAACACAATATCAGGGCGCGTGACAGACGGATCAACAGTGTATAAGGTGTCACTCTTCAGAAACGTAGGTCTGTCTTTGGAGACATGATTATAAATGTCCCTGAGTGCGACTGGAGACCTGAAGCTGAGTTCGTTGGAGGCAGTTCGGACAACATCGCCGTACTTGCGGTGCAGGTCGCCAATATTATGAACATAGTACCCACTGGCCCAACTGCGCAGAAACCAAAACTGTTCAAGGCCTTAGTTATGAAGGGAATGGGGGGTGGCAAGGAGGACTTTACCTCACTACATGCAGCTATTTTGGGTCCTGGGAATTTTGCGAGAGGATGGAAGTACAACCTGTAGATGATAACGCCGATGATCCACGATGCAAACTGCAATATTAACGCGAGTAAGTGCTAGGCAGATGATGGAATGTACATACAGTTGCACCGGAGAGCATAAGCCCTTGAGAAACTGAGAGGTTCAGCATGACGGTTGGCTTAGAATTGCTTGGCTAGATGAGATTGAAGGTGGTCTACCGGTGTCGTAAAGAGAGTCTCGTCCGCCATATATGCTTCCTACAGCCTCAGAATTGTGGCGTTCATATTTCCTGTTGAAGGCGATCATCGTGTGTGACTATTAGTGCATATAGGGTGCAAACTTGCATTATGCGGCGTGACCAGGTTCCACCAACGGCCTTTGTGTAACGATCAGTGATGCGTTTGCAACCCAAGAGTGGCCATCAAGGAATGATCAAGGAATGGCTGTAGTCATTACCAAGCTTAAGGATTCTGATATGACCTAGAACCGTGACTCCATTGTGCCCCAACGAAAAGAGGAACATGTACGTTGGACTGAGTCATTGCATAGTGCGGTAAAGGGATCGGTGAAGATTTATGAGAGTCCGGCAGTTCAAGCTTAAGGCTCTTGGCACATAATAAGGCTAGTGAATGCCGATTCGACGTCAACATCCTGCGTATCAACACGAAATACAGGCTATAACACTATTTTGTCCGTCCATCACATCACATGCCGCCGCCAGTCATCCCTCGCCATCAAACGAGTGGCAACCATTCGCCCTCTAATATCCTCTCTCATCACCCAGAACAAGCAACACAGTCGCCTCATAGCTGCGGGGTCGACTTCATTCACAACGACTTCATGCACTGTTCCTATTCAGAAGCAAAGACATCATCAAGAATCGTATCATATGCTAATAAGACTGTTGGCTGCCCATATGGATGCCACCAAGTGTATGTATGTTTCACTCATTCGAGTAAAAAGCTCGTCTTTTGTTGCATAATGTGAATTGTTTGCGTATCATTGCCGACGAGCTGATCGCTCAAATGGGCTATTATTGCGATACTTCCCACCAACATATCTTGGCGAATGCTTTGATAGGCTATTAAGCGCCTGCAAGATAGTGAAAGCGCAAGTTGCTTTTACTCTCACATATTGGCAATACCCCATGACGTATCTTATCGAGTCACATGCATATCGGCTTGATTCGCTTATATTCGTCCTTTTCCGGTTACGATGAAACAGGCACTCCGTAATGGATGCTTGGTTCTTACATGCATATTCACATTATTGAATGCAATTAAGACGATAGGTGCAATTACTACAATATATGGAAACTCTGCCGGTTATCTTCCTCCGTGATAATACCCACTACTACCACTATGTGCTACCCCCACACCTTGTCGCAAAACCATTGACAGGACCAAGAAATCGCCTCCGAAGAGACACGCGATTGGATCGCGGAAGTCTTCATCCATTCCGCCGCGACCAACCACGTTCAGCTTCACAATGAGGCCGGCTTTGGTAGAACAAATCCAACATCCAGCATATCGATCGCACTCCGTCCAATCATCGTCAGCTCGGCCTCGTAGTTGTCAAGTTCTTCCTCTGTCGTCACACTCTTGGCCATCAAGTACTTCCATAGCTGTTTGACCCCTTGTTTCTTCGAAAAAATGTTACGAAGACCATTGGCGTTGTTTATCGCTGCTTCGACAAGTGATAGTTGAACGCCAAGCTGGTCGACAAGCTCGTTGACCCTTTGAGCATCGCTACGACTCTCTTGGCAAAGCACGTATGTGGCAACACTTACCTTTTGCAATCGTCGCAGCATCGGCTTATCGAATGTCTTGGCTTCTTGTGCAAGATCTTCAGCTTGTGTAGAAGCATAGCATATACTATAGGTGATCTTGCTGAGGTCTTGGCGGAACTGACCGCTGACCTTCGCCCAGATGTCTTTTCTGGGTTCTTGTAGCTTCTGTAAACGGTCAAGCAACTTATAGTTTCGGATAACTAAGCAGCTCTCTTTGGACGGGACGGTCATCCGAGTCCAAAGAGAAGGATTCTCGGGGTGACTCGGAAGTGCCTCACTCTCCGTCGTGATTTGTAGAAGTCTCTGGTCGTCGAATTCGCAGCTAATCGCTTGTTTCAGCCGCTGATTTTCCTGTTGAAGGTTGGTTGCAATATCCACAGGTATATATACTGCGTCAAGAGCCCGTGATGGCTCTTTATCGTTTGACTCCTGCGCAACATTCTGGGTATCAATTTTGATGTCGTCAAGCTTTGGTGCCAATTCGTTGAATCTTTGGATCTGTAGGTGAATTCGTTCCATACAGACACTATCGTATGTATTGGGAGTGCCTAGATAGTTTTGAACTTTAATGCATATAGAGCCAAGGATGAATGTCAATATGAACATATTGAATTGAGGTGGTGCTCGATCGGAGCTGGGTTGTGAGTATTGTACGGGGGTTGTTTCTGTGCATTTTTGTTGGGATGTTGGGATGTTTGGAATGAACAACTGTGATCATCATGGTTTGTCGTTCTTTTATCAATATGGCAGGTCTTTGTTAGGGATATCATGAGGTTCATTTACATCAACAGGAAGGCCTTTATTGCTTGGACAACGCTTTGGCTTAATGTTCTAGTGGCGTGCCTGAACGGTGCTTACTATTCTCGATAAGTCCGTGAACATTATTGTGCCCCTCATTTGTTCAATTGCTATGTTCCCGATGCCTTAAGAGTTTCTTTGTCTATCCTCTTTGATGGATTAACCCAGCGTTCGTGCCTTCAGCTCCGCTAGTCGGTTGTTGTTAGGCCGAAAATAGTAGGCGATAAGATAAAGGCATGTTTGCCGCTATGATTGCATCGCTTCTTATCGTTACACTAACAACCCCAAACACCAACGGCTCATCTCCACGACTTGCAAATCTGTGCTGTCCGTTTCACTTCTGCTCATGTTATCCCGTTTTCGATACCCTTCGAAGTCGCTTCCACGCAACACTATCTTGTGCACGACCCGCACCTTTTATTTTGCTTCTACATCATCAATCCTGACAAGATTCTCATCGGTCGCATCTCTCTAAATGCCGCAGCACGAATCAGAAATATCCACAGCGCAAAGACCACCAATTGTTCATGGAGTAAACATCAGCCCAAAACTTCAATGCCACCATTGGTCTTCAGATCTTGACATTATTGCCATCCGGCACAAATGCTGCATGGAGTACTACGGGTGTATCAGCTGCCATGAAGAGTTAGCAGGACATCCCAATCAAGTCTGGCCCAAGGCAGAGCAGCAGGAGTTGGCCGTCTTGTGCGGCAACTGTTGTCTGGAACTGACAATTGCAGAATATCTTGGGAGCGGCAACCGATGCCCTGGATGTGATGCTGGCTTCAATCCGGGATGCAGGAACCATTATGATCTATACTTTGAGGTGTAGCCATGGGTGACTTTAACGGTCGCTCGACCTCCAAAGCCGGGTCACTGTCTACGTGAACCTGCGAAGGCCCAGGTTAATCAAGACGCCGAATCAAAACTTTCTAGTGTAAATGTTCTAGATGCTCGAACCACGAGAGGGCAAGGACAATGGTTGAACGTATGGGTAGAGGCTAGGTTAAGGGATGAAGAGAGCGATTACAAATTGAGTTTCCTTAATGGGCCGTCTATTTCAGATTCGCCACATTATTGAGTCACACATCCATTTCGTCAAAGAAGAAAGGTTTATCAATGAGAACGCTGTACAAGGGTGCTACCCAACTATATCAAGAAGCATCATCGACGGCCCGCGAGGTACTTTACAAATATAGTTCTGGTTTCGATCTTCAAGTACTATCAGTTATTAGTCAGCGGGTTTAGCTCAGTTGGGAGAGCGTCAGACTGAAGTAAAAACTTCAATCAATATCAAACGATATCTGAAGGTCGTGTGTTCGATCCACACAAACCGCATTCTTTTTTCCTTTTGTTTATGGCGACATCTCGTAGGCGCCTACTCTTATGCTGCGATTTTCTTTGCGTACCGTTGAGACATGGCTCCTCAAGTACCTGTTCATTGGTGATGGCGTTAAGACTCTTGGTCCCCGGCTGCCCTCAAGCTGACAGTCTGTATAGTTGAGGTCATATCGCCGTATGACAATGAACAAAAGACCGCGGCATTTGTCATTTCTTTATGTACACAATATGACAATTGAACGTGCTGAATGGGTAGGTTGTCGGAGCCTTGCTTACGCCAAGAGATCCTTCCGCTTCAATTTTCTCTGCTGACAGGCTCGGGAGATTAGCAGAACCCACCTAGCGCGACAACGTCAACGATGTGCCGAGCCTTATCAGATTGAACTAAAGATTGTTGTTTGTTCGCGAGTGCCCAAACAAACAACTGACGTTGACTTTCCTCGATTAGCTTTCTCTCCCTACATTCGTCATTGGCGCTACGTTGAATCGAGCCCGTCAACGTTGCACAGCACAAACAAGGCCTTGTTGCGGTGTCGCCCGATGATGACACGACAAAAGCTGATTGATTATCAAAAGGATCAATCGTGAAATTAAATCTCAAGGATCTTGATCGACGGATACTTCCGCCTCCGTCTCCGTCTCCGTCCGCTGGGATCTGTACCCCTGCAGCCTCCACTTCACATCACTCTATATCACGCTGAGATTTCCCATCCGTGTACTGCGAACTCATGGACTTTGCTCAAACTCCTCTTGTCAACCAGTCGAAGCGCTTCGGAGCAAAGATGAAGTCTCTTCTTGGTCCTCTACTCCTCGGCGCGTCGCGCCTTGCAACCGCGACAAATGGTGCTGATTCGCTGGTTGCCCGTGCAGAATCATCGCTGAAGTGGGAGCCTTGTAAGCTCGATCTTCCCGATGCGGCAAAGGAACTGTTGAAGGCTGGTGATTGCGCGACTATTGAAGTTCCGCTTGATTATACGGATAAAAAGTCGGACAAGACGGTCGAACTTCAATTGATCCGCTACAATGCTACCAAGGAACCCTTCAAGGGTAGCGTTCTCTGGAATCCCGGCGGTCCGGGAATTTCTGGTATTGAGACTCTCGCTTATCTCGGACAGGACTTCCGCGAGTAAGTATCCTCCGGTGCGCTATTGAGACAAACTGACACGATTTCTAGCATCATGGGCGGCCATCACAACATCATCTCATTTGACCCTCGGTATATTTTGCCCGTCTATCGTATTGAGCTACACTAACACCAGGCAGAGGCGTTGGCCGAACCATTCCCTTTGCCTGTGGCAAGAATGCTTCTACTGAGCTCACCCGCCGCAGTCTAGAGCCTCTTCCCCAAGCAGACCTCTGGGAATATGTGAAGAACGAGGGCTGGCAGACCATGCAGGCTACTGCTGAGTCCTGCTACGAAACCCAGCAGGAACACGGCCGCTTCCTCAGCACAGCTTTCACGGCTCGTGACATGATGAAGATCGTCGACGCTCTCGGTGAAGATGGCAAGCTTCGTTTCTGGGGCATTTCTTATGGAACTATCCTCGGCCAAGTCGCCGCTGCTATGTTTCCTGATCGCATTGGTCGTCTTCTTCTTGACTCGAACTCCTTGGCTGACGCATACCTTACGTCGACTGGTGTTGGTGGACCGCATGACGCTGAGAAGTCGCTTGTGCATCTGTTTGCTGAGTGCGTTGAGCTCGGTACCAAGTATTGCAAAGTGGCCAACTACTCTGGTAGCAGCACTACTGTTGAGGATTTGAGAGATGCTACGGTCGAGACCTTCCAGAAGTTGAAGGACCTGAAGACTCTGCCTGATGGTCTTTCATCCAAGGACTATCCCTACGCCGGCAACTCTATCTTGAAGCAGTTGAAGTACGGTATTATGAACTTGCTATCAAGCCCTTTCAACTATCCCTCAGTGGTAGAGATTCTCTCTTACGCTTTTGAGGGAGACTACAAGAAGGCTCTCAGCGTCTACAAGGAGGATACATCCGAGTGGAACCTTGGTACCAACGCATTCCAGGGTATTGCTTGCTCCGAGTCATCGTTCCGTGTCAGCAACCCTGAGGACCTTTACTCCATGTACCAGGCTCATCTCGCTGGAAGCTCCTTCGGAGATGCCATCGCAGCTGACTATGTGGCCTGCGCTGCTTGGAAGTTCGACGCTGCCGAGGGCGTTGATACCAACACGCTCCGAAACGTCAACACAAGCTTCCCAGTTCTCGTTATCAACAACGCAAACGATCCTATCACTTCCCTAAACCATGCTTGGCAAGTTTCTTCTCGATTTAGAGAGAGTCGACTGTTGATTAATGAGGGAGTTGGGGTAAGTATGCTTCCATCGTTTTGGCAGGATTTTAAGCTAACATGTTACAGCATGGAGTCACATCGCATGCTTCCAACTGCACTCTTGAGGCTATTGCTGCTTACTTTGTTGACGGCGCTCTTCCAGATGTTGGTACGAGGTGCAAGCCCAACATGCCAGCTTTCAAGGTCGCTCTCCCCAACGCATAAAATGGTTGGCTTGGTGCTGCTGCAGAAGACGGTGAAGATGAGGATATGGCTGTAAGACGTTTGTATCACTATATATCATGTATTAAAAATGTCTATTCCCAGAAAAAGAGTGATAACTGCATACCGCTAGTGCATCATCGGCCGCCACTGTCTGTGCCACTTGATAACCCTGCAAGCAAACGAGACATAAAATCCTTTCGAAACGGAGTGGACGGAGGATGTTGTGATTCCGTCGTCAACAAAAGAGTCAGGTTAAAAATAAAACAGCAAAAAGTCTAGCTCGTATGCTTATCCAAACATGCTTATATGAATAAGCGGAGTTCCAGAACCTTATGGATCAAGGCAGCCAAGATTGTGATACCTGAACAGAAGCGTGACCAACTTTCGAGAACTTTGGTCCATGTTGCATTGCATATACGTCGTGTTTGACGATGTGACGCGTAGAAGCAGAATCAGCGGATGAACCGGCTCCCGCATCATGAGTATCGTGAGATTCCATCATAACCGGATTATCGGCGGGAAATGCGGGGGAGGATGATGTAAACTATCTCGACGTGGGGTCGGAGTTTTTAGCCGTGACTAAATTTAGGTATCGATGTTTGGAGGTGATCAATCGGGAGGCATGGAGATGGCCGCGTCATAAGTTGAAGAAGCATAGGATAGGACTTATGGATACTCTAAATGCTGAGGTTTTGATACATACACGAGATTTGCATCGCCTTGCTGTGTTGTGAAGTGAGAGAGATCTTCGAGGGTTACAGTCATTGCTCGTATTTGACATCACCAGCATCACATGGATCGTCCCAATAGGGCCATGGTGCGTTGACACGGCACAGTCCGTCCCCGGCACATGATACCTGCTGCATATTTCTCAAGTTCCACTGATCGACTCTGATAGCAGCGGAGTTAATTCTCTGTGAAAATGATTGGGAAAAGCGTTTACTTGATCGGTTTTGGCCGTGTGCTGGAAAAGATACGAGCTGTAGTGGGCTCACACTGCTGTATTGCTAGTGCTGACAGTGCAGCTCGTATCGCGGCTGGTTCTGTATTGGGCTTCAATTTTCAGCTGTACTTCCAGAAGTATCAGACACTTACAGCCACAGACTTGACGTAGTGATCTTCTCTCTCAGCCCACTATTGCCTTAGTAGAATGTAAAGTTGCGTTGACTATCTCAATTGTATTTAAAGTCAACTCCATTCCCGCAACAGACCAAACTCTCATCATCACTCAACAGCCATCAATCAATCACCCCGCACTACAGCACTCGGTTAGCTCACACTTTCACATCTTCACATTTCAACCACCAAAATGCATTTTGCTACCATCATCGCTACTGCTGCTCTCGTCATGGGCGTCGCTGCTGAGCCTGCTTCCAAGGATCTCCCCTTCAACGTCATTTCTGCCCGCATTTGGAGCTCTAAAGACTGCGGAGGTGACAACAACAACGGAAACCTCGGTGAATTGACCACGCATCGTGATGAGCTCAATGAATGCTTCAAGTTCACCGACAAGGTCAAATCTGTGAGCCAGTATGAGCATGCTAAAGGCTGCAAGCGTAAGAACTCCCTTGTCACTACAAGTGCAAGATTGCTGACATGTTTATAGTTCTTCTTTTCACAGACAGCAACTGCAAGCGTGGACAGAAGACTGTCAAGGATGACCAGTGTCGAGAGACTTCTTCTCACTTCAGCAGCTACAAGACTGTTTGCAACTGATTTCACGACCGATGAGTTGACATATAATGATGCATTAATGGGCGCGAGATGATAATGGACTAATGGCTGAGACGATAATGGCAGCATGAGACCGAGTTATGGACATTCCTTTAGCAAAGAGGTCGTATGAATTAATATACAGCATTGAATTAACTAAGATTATGCATGATTTGAACCAGATCCACTGTCTAAACTCCCTCTATGCTTGTCTTGTCTTCTAAAGGGCATATCCCACATACCCTGGTCTCATATCTTGAACGTGTCGCTTAAGCAGTGCCCTGGGTGAGGTAGCCAGTGAGGCCATCGAAGATGTTGGAGACGGGCTGGATGATGGGTCCAAGAGGAGTGCCCGAAAGGGTGTTAAGGATGTTGGAGAGGATGTCGACGAGACCGGGAACGATGTCGCCGATGAGCTGGGTGACGAGGCCGAGGAGGGTGGCGACGGTCTGGAAGAGGAGCTCGAAAGCGCTGCCGATAACGTTGTCGAGACCAAGGATGCTCAGGACCTCCTTGGCGACACCGACGAGCTCGTGGAGAAGCTGGATGACAAGGCCGAGAATGACCTTGACGTCGGGGATGTTGATCTTGATGCTGACGACATCCTTGAGCTGGTTGACAACGGCGGTGAGGAGCACGTTGAGGGAGTGGACTTCGGCAGTGACGACCTTGACGGCGGCAGCCTTGGAGATGGCGTTGGACTTGACCTTGGTGATGACCTCCTCTGCAGATATCGTTAACAATCCATGTGACATGGACTCTATGGTTGGTTGACTTACTGATGGTGGTGGTCTGGCTCTTGACCTGCTCAACAGCAATGGTGAGAACCTTGACAACACCGCCAGTGTTGGAGACGTTGACAGCGGTGATCTTCTTGGTAACTGTCTTGGTGACGGTCTGAGAGGTAGCGATGCTCTCAACCTGGCTGACAGCACCGTTAGGAGCAACAGCTGGGACAGCTGGGACCTGACGAGCAGCAACCTGAGCAGCAGGAGCAGCCATGGCCGAAGCGGCCAGAGCAGCGAGGGAGAAAAGGCTGAACTTCATGATGAATAAAAACGTAACTAAATAAAGAGTGACTTGGTGAGATTTTGCTTGAAAAAGAGTGACTGGGTTGAGAAGTGAGAGTGGATGGTTGGGTGAATGTCCAAACCGATTGACTTTTGGAGTTTCTTATATACATCTTGAGCAGACATAGATAGTGACCCTAGATAGGAGATGATACTACACGGCATAAGCGAAAGTTAGATCTTCAAGCCGTTTTTGCACATCGGATGAAACCGACAGTTGGGATGGACCGGGGGAATCGTTCATTGCTGCTCTGTTTGGCTCGACGGTTGGTGTTGAAACACGCGATTGTGGAGCGATGAAACATCGCCAACTGCCGAGTCGATCGCAATAAACAAAACGTTGGATTCCGCCAGAGATCGTCGTTTTGTGTTGCTGGAAGGATGACGTCGATGGCACTCTGGCGTGTCATCGGTCAAGTCAAGTTGCAGGGGTCTTGAGAGTTGGGGATAGCTTCCTCTGTGACCTGCAACTCAGTATCGAGATAAATCCTCCCACAAAACCAGCGTATGTAAATTTTTAAAGACTTCCAGGCACAGCTACTGTTTTCAAATGACTGACATTGGCTTGAAATGGTAAATGGCAATGGAAAGGTTATGACGCGGGATCTTCGGGATAGCACTCTCGCCAATGCAACGCCGATCCACCGTCCGTTTCGTTTAATTACACCCGTATCTTGAGGGCACATTTGAGCGCCCATGACAAAAGCGCCCCGTGCTGAGGAATATCGCAATAGACAACGACACTTCACTCATTTTCATCTCATTTTCATTTTGCCATACCTCCTTTTCCTTGGTTCTGGGGCAGCCTTTGATGGCTCGGCTGGTGTCTGAAGGGCGTTCATTCAGTATGACGTTTTTTTGGATAAGCATAATAGATTACTGCGGAGTCTGGGAATTGCATGCGTTGGCGTATAACCGTGCGGCTCATCACGTTGCCATATTGAGTCATGCTAGTGCAATGAAATCCATCTGTCAAAAACGGCTTCAAGGTAGACGCATGATCTATATGTCACGGGAGTCTTTAGTGATCCATTGCATCTACATTGGTGTTCCTATGTAAGCAAGACGCACAGATTCGAGCGACTTCATCTCTGTTAGACATCAAATGACGTCTTAGAGCAGGAGGATTGTCGTAAAGCTGGATGAAGCATCAACCAAACTTACGCATGGGGCTGCATGATCACGGAATCTCCCCCTTGCCTCAAGTAATCTTCCACCAGACAGAAAAAGGACAATAACAGAGAATCCGTCGAAAAATTCCAGAAAGATAGCTCTGAGACAACATTCTAATTCTACTTACCCCTGATCGCCACGCGAGGAACAGGGGAAAGGTCTAAGCGTCAAATGTGACCCTGACTCGCAAGACTTGACAAACCTAATCTACAGGGTAATCGAGAGTCAAATAAACAGAATACCAATAACCCGATTGAGTTCCTTGTCAAATGATTTGTATTGGTGAATCTGCTTGCTGGTATCCTATCTTCAGATTCTAATGGCGAGTCTACTCTCACATGAAACATCATTCTTGTTGCCATTAGTCGCTCTGTGGCTTTTGAGCATAGACAACATAGCTAAAGAAATGTTAGAATAAGTAAGAAAACTAACTTGCTCCTTTGGAGTAAGCGCAGATTTTTAGGGGCAACTTACTAAGGCCAGTACCCATGCATTCTTGGATTCTTAATTTCCTTTCTCAAGAATGCAAGGAAGACAGTGACTTCAGCATCCGTCCATCCAAGACCTTTCTGAAACATCCTCGTTACCATAGCTTCAAGTCCACTTAGCAGATTCTCCATCTCCCAAGCCCCCAAGAGCTTCATACGCGGATCTTTGGGCCATGGGTTGAATGGAAGCTTGAAAACTCGCTCTGTGACATTTTGGTATCCGCGTTCTTCAAGCCAGCCTTTCCACCGCATGGGGTCTGTCAGACTGGCGCCAAACTTCGCAGAGCCCTGCTCCATCATTGTTGAGAATTTGCGGAGATAGCTGTCTTCAGGGATGGAATCGTCGTCGCAACCGAGAACGCCGACGATGGCTTGGAATTCGACCCATCCGCCTCCTCTAAGATGTCTGGTGGAATTAGTTATTGATATCGCATGCGGGAAGAGTTAGCGCTTACGTGTATGTTTGGTCAATCAGGGCTGGCCAGTCTCGAATTGCTAGTAGAAGATCTCGGGCAAAAACGAAGTCAAAGCTATCTATTTTCCATGTCCATTCTCTTTCAATATCGTCGACCTCAAAGTGACAATTTGGTGGTACCCTTTCAGACATCAGTGTCAGAAAGTCTCACAGTTGGGATCGCATCGATCACTTACCAGTCAGGTTGCGTCGGTGCAACATCCGTCCCAATGACCTGGGAGCTCGTCAGTCACAGCTCACCCGATGTAACCATGGCAGCAAGATCCTGTACTCACTTCTGCAGATGGAAACTCTTCTGCCATTTCAATCGACCATATCCCTTATATTAACATTGTCAGCAAGGACTCCCTTATCGATACAATCCTTTCACACCAAAGAAAATGAGGCTTCACGAACCTGTGCCGCAGCCAAGATCTAGAACTCTCTGGGGCTTCTCTAGAGGCGCCAAATAACGGTTCTTTCCAATCAACGCGCAGTATTTAGCATGGCACATATCGATGCGATCAAGCTCAGCCTCATCCATTGGTAATCCATATTCTGAAATTTGTTAGCACTGGCTAAGCGATTTACTCTGAGAGACTTGCCCTCTTTGCCATACACGGCGTAGGTTCTTCCTCCTTCGACCTTTCCATGTAGAATAGAAGATGTCAGAGATGTCAAAGATGACCGCTCACTCTCATTATCGTAAGCCTATATTTCATCACATTGTTGGTTAGCAAGTGGAGCCATTTGGATGAGTCGCATCAATAGGCCCACTAACCTCATCGTCAGTGACACTCTGCAAACCCTAGACAAATCCGTTTAGTCCGATTTCAGCCCTACAGGGAATAAACTTACAGTGTCAGGCTGTATAACCTCTTCTTCGGGAGCACGAGGAGACGACATTACGGCACTGTTGGTATCACAATCGTTTGTGCATCAGAATCATGCAAAGTGGACACGGTCAAAAGGAGAAGTTGAGCAAATATCGAAACAAACTCGCCATAGTGATAATCATCCTCGATACTGCGATACTGCGATAAATGCCACCGGACCAAGCCTTCCATCACTTGGGCCGTGCCGCAGTTCAAACTCCAGTTTATCACGGATATAATATTCTGATTGGGTCGTGATCTGCATGGTTGAGGCACTTTACCCGGGATTACAGAACCTCGGCTGGATATATACCCACTTACTAACCTGTCTTGTTAGGAAGCGAACGCTCATGGACTGATATGATCTGAGTTCCTGCTTGGCAGTTGCTGCTGCCCCGCCTGAAGCACTCTTAAGTGAATATACTATTCACATGGTCTACGGAACATGCGGTGACAATTGCCATCTCCGCAAATACAGACCCAGCGGTTGAATCCTTCAAGCCACATCTCGATATCTCTAAAATCCCAAATATTTACAATGGTTCACCCCAAAGCTGAAAAGGCCCTCGAAGAGGCAAAGAAGCTAGTCGCCCAGCTCGAATCATACGAGGATGATCCAATCAGCCACCAAAATGTCCTCAAGCAGACGGAAGCAGTTCGCTCAGCTTTCCAGGATCCCATGGATCAGATGACACACCTAATGGAGCAATTCAGTCTCGGATGCGCTTTCCATACAATTCTTGGAATCCGGGCATACCACGCCATGCCCGAAGATGGCAGTCCCATCACCGCTGAGGAATTGGCTCGCATTACCAATGTGGCTACTACTGTGATTCAGCGCATTTACCGTGTTGCTGTGAATCATGGTGTCTTTGTTGAGACGGCGCCTGATACCTATGCTCATAATGACCTTTCACGGATTTTGAACCCTAGGGGGTTGGGTTCATTCTTCATGATTGTGCTGGAGTTTAGTCGTGCTTGGATACATCTTCCTGAATATCTGAAGTCTCACAAGCCTGAAGATGTTTTCGATCTCACTAAATCTCCTGCTGTTTACTCGGTTGGCAAGGAACATCTTGGAAAGTCATACTATGAGCTGTTGGAGATGGACCCTGATCCTGAGCGACGCGAGCTCTGGAATGCCAACATGGTTGCTGTTGATGAGTTGATGCCTGTCGTTGGCATGTTCCCGTTTGCATCGCTCAAAGACGAGGTGGCTCAGGATCCTGAACGACCTTTCTTGGTGGATATCGGTGCTGGCCGTGGTCAGTCGTGCATCGCCATCCGCAAAGACATTGGTAATGCCTTTGACGCGAAGTTTATCCTACAGGACCTCCCTGGTGTCATTGACTCGATGGATCCCAAGGGCTATCCAGACTTTGAACTTATGACTTACGATGCCTTTACGCCGCAGCCTGTCAAGAGTAAGTGACTCCCCGGAGTCGACAAGCGCATCGTAGCTACGCCTCTGGTTCATAGCAACGACTGACCTTTCGCAGACGCCCGTATTTACTTCATGCGCCGCTTCCTTCACGACTTCTATACTCCAGTCTGTATTGAATTCGTCAAGAACACCGCATCAGCCATGGGACCCGATTCCCGTCTGATCATATGCGACCAGCTGATTCCTGACATGGTCGAAAAATACAAGTTCACAGATCTGTACTGGCTCGATTTTGCACTTCTCGCCATGACTGGCCAGGAGAAGAAGAAAGCCGATTTCGAAGAGATTTTTGAAGCTGCTGGTCTGGAGTTGGTCAAAATTTACCCATCTGCCTATGGATGTACTGCGATGCTGGAGGCGAGGTTGAAGAAGCCTGAGTAGGTACTTTGGAGCTCGATGGCAGGAGTATGATACTAAAATTAGGTGGCTACTTTACTTCTATGCTTTATACTTATACGGTGTTCTTAACTAGTTCATTTGATGTTAGCTGTGCAGCCCAGCTGTTGTGACGTTCATGTCAGACATGAAAGCTACGACTCCGTGAAGCTGTCAGCAACAATGACGCAGTCATTTTCAACAAATAGGAAGTTTCTCGCTATGGCTAGTATGTTTCAGTGCTATATGTCCTAGAGCTGTCTTGTACAGAAGCTGTCTTGTACAGAAGCTGTCATCAGCGTGAACATGTCGTCTGTCATCCTGATGACACCCATCACGAGCCACTAACTGAACCTCAGTCTTACGTGGCGTACTCTCGTCTGTGCCACATTTGTGAATGACAGTCAGCTGCATAATTTACGCACCGTCCGAGCGTACTTCATCCCGACCCTGCTTCAGCCATCTGCATGTCTCTGCAGGAACGAAATGCTTTCCCGTACGTGCCGAACCTGGCTTGCATTCGGGTGAGCCACAGGGTCGCAGCATACAGTGACACGCAACGTATCTATTTCTGTCGTCTGATAGTGTCATGTGCAATGTTTCTGCAGCCATTACCCGTGAAGCCTCAAAACTCTAATTGTGAGCGTTGTGAACCTGGTTCCCGGGGTTCATTAAACTCTATAGCCACTAGTGTCACTGAACAGACAAATGTCTTAGGAAACCCGTGTTCTTGGTATGTCGGGATATCCCAGCGCAATGGGTTAAACATCGTCGAAAAACAATTTTGACTTCTCTTGGTTCGTGTTGCGTGTTCATGAGGCTGTACAGATTACGGTATGGCCCGATCACGAAGGTTAACATGGATCTGAAGATAAACTTTGTCGGCATTTGAATACGGTTCTACTATCTCTAGTGACATGGTCAGGATGATGAGCGTCAGCTCGGCAATTGGTTCATCGCCATTGTGAGAAGTGCAGTCACATATGAAGTTATCCAAAAAGAAAATTGATGCAAGAAATTTGTATTAGATAGTAGCGTGACGTCTGTGTCAATATATCCAACTGCAATTGGTATCAAAGTATATACATAATGAATCAGGATACTTGTACTATCCTCGCTAGTATTATAAATGCAAAGAAATCATTTTATCGCAATGTAGGCGTTAGATCAGATAGTGACCTTAATGGTGCTGGCAATGCTGGGAACACCAGCGTTGTTGAGGACGAAGAGCATCCAGTAGCCAGGGAGGGCAATACCAGAATCATTAGGGATCTTGAAAGAGTACTTGTTGGTACCAGCACCTGTCAAGGCCAAAGGAATGCGGCGCTGATCAGTGTTGACAACATGTGTCGCAGTTCCGTATCGGATGAGCGAGGCGCTCTTAATGGCGCTGTTGGCAGTGACGGTGATGGTGCTGCCGACCTTGGCAGTAGTTGCCGAAACAGCAGTGATCTTGGGGCGGGTAGCAAGGTTGCCGTTGCCATCGAGAAGATACTGAGGGGTGAAGATCTGAGCGTCAAAGTGGTTGGTCTTGCAGCCACCGCAAAGACCACCGCCACCGTTGAAGACAGTAGCATCTGGCAGCAGCAGAGACATACTGTGATACGTGCGGGGAATAGTGTTGGTTTGTTGCTTAGTGAATGTGTTGGAGGAGGAAATGAACATCTCGGGCTCGAGCTGAGCGTTGGTGTCGGTGAAGGGGTCGGAGTAGGATTGACCGCCAGTGATGAAGACGTTTCCGTCAGGGAGGATGACAGAGGTAGCGAAGACACGAGCGTGAATGCCAGCACCGTTGTTTCCAACGAGGGCGGTCTGGGCGATAGCACCGGGTTCGTCAATGGTGAGAACGTGAGCGTTGGCTGTGGCAGGAGCCTGCTGGTAGCTGGTAGCACCGCCAAAGGTGAGAATCTTGCCATTGAGGGCATCATACATGGCAACATTGCCGTTCATGGAGTCAGGGTCAATTCTGCCGTTCTTTCGTCGAGTACCAGCAGCCTTGGTGTCACCCTGAGTTCCCCTAGTGGTGTAGTACCAGTTCATGGCTGTGCTGGGTCCAGCCTGGAAAACACTGTTCTTCTTCCAGCCAAAGAGCCAGGCGTGGTTGTCAGCCTTGTAGACACCCTCCTTGTCCTTGGTGAGCATAGGGCCGACGAGACACTTGGGAAGGGAGGTCCAGGTCTTGGCCTTGGGGTCGTAGATTTCACCGTTCTTGCCGCCACGGGGACCGCTCCATGAGCCACCGATGGTGAAAACGCGGCCGTCAGAGCAAGTAGCAGATGATTGGTAACCACGAGCAATCTGCATGTCAGGGCCAGGAACCCAGTTACCATCAGGCATGAGAATGGTAGTCTTCTTGGCATCGTTGCCACCAGTGACGACAATTTGTCCCTCACCGTCCATGGAAATACCAGGGCAGAACATGTCGTGATGGTTGTTGGAAACATTGCGGTTGGAGATGACGTTGGTCTTGGGGTCCCAGATAGAAGTGAGAGTGAAGCCACCACGGGGAGTGGTGCCTTGGAAAGCATCATATCGGTAAGCAGACCAGATGACGACCTTTCCGGAGACAGGCTCAACGGCACCAGCGACGGGAATGACGGGGAAGTCAAGAGTAGGACCCCACTTTCCAAGGCCCTTAGCAGGAGGGCTGTACTTGAGAGCGTTGTAGACAACAAAGTCGGCAATAGCAATCCAAGGATAGTCGGGGTTCACGTTAGAAAGAGCAACAAAGCGAAGATAGCGAGCAGGCTGAGTCTCAAAGTTTGTGATCCAGGGGTACTTGTCTCCCCAGTAAGTTCCAAAGGCAACGGGCTTTCCCCAGTTGGTACCGTCAGAGCTGAGGTAGACTTCATGGCGACCAATCCAGTTACGGGTGTTGCCGTCTTGGCGAGGTGTAATTTGGAGACCGCTGACATACTGAGTCTGCTTCATGTCAATGGTGATGGTGTGAGGAGGCGGCGTGTTGGTTGTGCCATAGGGAGTCTGCCAGAAGGTGTTCTTGTCACCATCGATGGCTCTACCACAGGGGTAATTTGAGGCCTGGCTGGAACACTTGACAGTCCATCCCTTGCGGTCAATGGGGTTTGAACCAACTGGGGGAGCAGCTGCGAACTTTCCAGGCTGTTGTCCCTGCTGCTCTGGTGGGATGGCAGTGGCTGCATTGAACAAGGCACCAAGGCACAAAGCCAAGTTGTAGAAAGACTTCATCTTGGAAGAGAGATAAGCGACAGCCACAAGCCTAAACCAAGAGTGGCAAAAAGAGAGAAGAAACGAGAGGGAGTGAGTGAACGAGCGGGCTGGAGAGGGCTAGGAGACGGACGATGCATATTTATTGATTTCGTTCTATTTACGACGCCCCTAAATAGGTACATGCAATAGACCTGCACAATATGCAGCCCGATGCAGTGTGCACACCCATTATGTCAGTTCGGGCGTTACTAAACATGGACAGGACGGGTCAGAAAAAAACAGAGTTGGACTTTTTATGAAGGGACGGGCTGAACAAAGACGCACAGGCGGAAAAAGTCATCGGCTGCCGGGAACTGCAAGTTACATTGGCCCGTTCAGTTGAGGCGTCGACGCTTGGGCAATCAGAAGCAAACTCAACTGTTCGGCTGGGCCAGGCTGTACACCAAGTTTAGTTTCAAGAGGAACTGCCATCTCGAAAACTCACACCACGAGATTGGCCGTCATTAGCCCCGAATACAGCAAAGACCTGCTGCAGGCTAATGTGCGTATGGACAGAAAGACCCCTGTAAGCTGAAACGGCGAGACCAATCAGTGGATGTCAGTAAGATGCAGCCACAAAGGCCAAGCGCAAGTACATCGTCATTTATTGTGTTGGGGTAGGTACTCGAAGGTCAGTGTGTTGGGCTGCCCGGGCCGGGTCTACCTTAGTCTGGGTCTGGCTCTGACTGCGGCTGCGACTGCGACTGATGCCCAGGCGTGCAAAGAGATGACGTGAGACAAGAGAGAAAGCTCACGTGCAGGATAAAAATTCAAAGATCCTGACTGATTGAGTGATTTAGACCGACCTGCTTATACATTCTCCCCTGTCTCCAAGTTCACCGCTGCAGTGAGGGGCCTGAGGGGGAACCTTTGGTGCTTATTGTTGCAACCAACATGAGGCTGCAATATTGAAATCACTGAAGCGACGTGCAGATCGAATGCAAGTCGGTTCGTATAGACCCTGCTCGTGGCGCAAAGAATGCTTATTTTGGGTAACGAGACTGGCCAAGCAAACACTTGCACGTTCTCGCCCAAGAGAATACTGTCTCCATGGCGTACCCCACTGCAAGGTACCCCTGGCCCTGGTGATCGGCCTAACGAGTGGCACTAAAAGACCGTTGATTCGCTAGCTCGAGGATCTCATCACGAGGAGAGCCTGAATGGTCAGCGGAATTTATCCTTCCCTCTTCTTGTCTCACCCAAAAAAACTGAAAAGTTAGCCCGACGCGCCGGTTAAGGCGGGGAAGATTCGCCCAAGGATTCCGGGAGAATGGAGGACAATCATACAAGGGTCGACGTTACATCTGACGTCCTTCACTGAGAGTTTCCTTAGCAGAAATGAAAGAGGCAGCCGCCACTTAATTTCCATTACCGCGCCGTCAACCAGAAATTCCGCACTACGGGCGATTTCACGACGCGATAAACAAGTGGCGCCTCTGATCACAGGGGCTCAATCTTGACCTCGTTCCCGATCGCCAGGTAAGTTAGCTTCTTGATCCTCAAATTAGCACCAAAGATTTGAGACAAACTCCACTGAATCTACATCCAACGAGAAGACGGTATTTGCAAAATGTGGACTCTCCATTACCTAAGCGCGAGAAATCTGCGTTTCAAAAAGTTCCATATTTCGTTATCGCAACACGATGACGACAAGGTGATCCCACTAAAATAGATTTCTTGTCCGACCTGAAACTCTGTGCAGAGTTTGCATAAAAGTATCGCGGCAAGTGGGTGGTAAATGCACAGACAGTGCATAATTCATAATCTGAGTGCAAGGAAATTCTGCTATTGGTCAAATCGTAAAGGAATCCCCTATTAAGGTGCAGCACAGCCTGGTCAAAAGATGAAGATCGACCATGATGTTTTGATAGATCAGAGCTAATTCCCCAAGCCTAGAATCTCATCAGTCCCCGGCTGCAACCTCGGTTCTCCTCAGATTGATGTCGGGATATCTACGAATCGTATGATACTGGTCCCTTGACGTCGTGCTCACAGCCCAGGTCGTCAGTGAAGCAGACAGCATCCAACTTATCGCTTGCAGACCCCAGCCAAATCTTAAACTCCCCATCAAGGACAAGCCAGTCCTGAGCCTTGACATCCCAGACGCTCAAGTCCTTCCTGGTCAAGGTCAATTGCACGGTCTCGCTCGAGCCAGGCTCTAAAACCTTGGTCTTCTCAAAGTCGCGCAGCTGGATGACGGGAGTCTCGTATCCGGCAACGCTCGGAAATTGGACGTAGGCCTGCACAGAAGCTTTGCCGGAGAATTTGGAACCTGCGTTAGTCACCACTACGGACAGAGTATAAGCTTCGTCCCAGAGAGCAGGGTTGCCGCCTGAAACACCGCCTGCCTTGGGGAGAGCCGTCTTCTGCGCGGTGGAGTAGCCGTCTGGGTAAGGGTATTTGGATGTCTCGGCTTTTGCGGCGGCCGACTTTGCGTCGGATTCGGAGAGCCAAGAGTATAGGTAGCGCCAGACGGTTTTAAAGCTGCTGGGTTTAATCGCTTCTTTGTAGTCTGGAATGTCTTGCGAATAGTCCAGAACCTTTCCTTTTGCGGGTCGCTTGGGAGGATACTGGCTCAGCTGGGTGCCTCTCTTGATGGTCGCATTCGTGTACGTAAAGTTGGTATAGCTGAGTCCATGGCCGAACGCATAACGAGGTTGAATCTTTTCCTTGTTAAGCCAGCGGTAGTCGATAAACAGTCCTTCACTGTAGGTATCCTGCGGCGCATCGATGAAGCCCGAATCAATGAGTTTGGTGACACTTTCAGGCATGTCGTCTTCCTTCTTGGTGATGGAATAGGGTAAGTGACCGCACGGCGACGCGTCGCCAAACAAGACGTTGGTGAGAGACTTTCCAGCCTCTTGTCCGGGGAGATGGGCAACTAAGACAGACTTGACTGATGGGAGATCAATCCATTGATCAACGAGGACGGGCCCGACAGTGTGAATGACAACGACGACGTTCTTGTACTTGGCTGCGGCAGCTTTGATAAGTGCATCGCCGTTATGCCATACATTCAGCTTGTCCGCATTCCGATCACCATTGTTACCCTCAACCGTGTACTGGTTCTCGCCCGAATCAGAGGTAACGAAGACAATTGCAACATCGTCATCAGAAGGGCTCGGAACTGACGGGAACTTGTCTGTGTTGTAGAACGTGACATCTCCGGCTGCCTTCTTGATGGCGCCGATGGGGTCGTCGAGATACATGTAGTCAACTGTACCCGAGCCCCAACCTTGACCCAGCGTGCCCTTGTTGCAGCTTCGATCGACACAGGCATTGGCGCCATCGGGGTTGGTTTGCGCGCCAGTCCCAAAGACCTTAAGTGAGCTCTTGGTGCTCAGTGGAAGAAGCCTTTCGTCGTTCTTGAGAAGAGTGATGGCGTCTTGGGCGATTTGTCGGGCGATCTCATCATGGTCGTCCTGAACTTGAACATATTGGTTGACAACTCCCGAGGGCGAGTTAGGCCATGCTGCTGGATACAGAGGACCGACTCTGTTGTATGTGTTGGTGTCAAAGTTGACAGATGGAAAGTCTTTGTCTTGTTCGAACTGATACCAGGTTGCCACAATACGAGTAGCCATATCGTTCAGTCTCGACATGGGAACCGAGCCATTGAGTGCGGATCGGGTTAGCTCGTACATCCATAGAGAATTGCCAAAGAGAGGGATGATGGTATCACCAGGCATGCTCATGTCCATTCCTGCAATGGCGGATTGTACGCCAGTGATTTGAGAGAGCCAGTCTGTCATGACGAAGCCTTGGAAGCCAAGCTCTTCTTTCAACAAGGCGTTGATGAGATATGAGTGCTCACTGGATATAGTGCCGTTGACCTACACTTGTTAGTCATGGTGAGTGAGAAGCCTTAGATAGACCAACTCGGTTATAAGCTGTCATGGTCGCTCCAACTCCAACTTTCACTGCCTCCGCAAAAGGCCAGAGATACAGCTCATGCATAGTTCGGTCATCTAATATGATTAGCAACGCATTGTCAGGGACGAGGAATGATCTAACCAATATTTGCCGAGTATGCAGGAGATACAACATCAGTAGTCTGTCGTCGATACATCTCCTGCTCATTTCCAATAAGATGCTTGACCGTAGCAATGACTCCCTGCTCTTGAACTCCCTTGATAGTCTCGCGTGCACCGATACCTTGCAGCGATGGGTCTGCTCCAAAGCCTTCCCAGTTGCGTCCGCCCTTTGGCTTTCGACCGATAGGACCAACAGACGGACCAAGCCAGACGTTGACGCCCTTACCACGAGCTTCCTTTCCAATTGCTACACCACGTTCATACATCAGCTTCTTGTCGAAAGTTGCGCCAGCTGTGATTCCATCTGGGAAGACGGTGACATTGTCGGCAAGTCGAACGCCATTGGCAGCGTCGTTGAGACAGAGTTGAGGGAAGCCAACGCGGTCAGCTGATCCAGTGTTACCGTTGCAAGGACTGTTGTGTCAGTATAAGTAGTGAAGTGAGAGACAAGTGTCGTACCCTGCTTCCTGTTAGTGACGAGTCTATCTCACCCTAGATTTCTTTTTCTTACCCATAAAGAGACCTGTGCCAGCTGTAATATTCGTCTTTTCAGCCAACGTCATAGAATCAACCATCTTCTTAGCTCTGGCATAGCTGTCGGCCCATGCTTCATCCCATCCTCCATAAGGAGCTGGGTAGTATGGCGCAGCAACGAACCCATCCGCGACATTCTTCGCACTCGAACCCACGGCCACCAAATTGGCCAACGTGAATGCAACCTTGGCGAGAGTCATTTTCGTATCAATTGAGCCTCGACTAGAGAAGACAGAAACATCGAAAGGCCGTGCGGTCTTATACAAGTCAACAAGTCAACTAGTAGCCAGTAACATATGATCAACCTTATTCCACCGAATCTAGCATCCAATTCGTACACTGTCTCCGAATTATAGGGTCATGTGTGAATGTACACTATCTCCGAATTATGGGGTCATGTGTGAATGTACCGTGAGGAGCGCATGGGATTCCGAACCAAACCTTGATTTTAGTTGTCGATTGCCCAATCAGGTTCGCGGAAATGTCGCTCTACGGAGTTGATACAGCAAAAAGGGAATATCATCCGAACGATGCAACAGGGGGAGATGAAGATCAGCTGAATTAATTCTCTGCCGAAACGGTGAAAGAAACGAAACATGCTATTCTCTCAATAGAAATGCCGAATAAACATGTGATTCTATCAAGATAGGCTCGAGATGCGTGCTATCTATGCATCATAGTTGATATCGGCCTCATACTATCCTTCCCCGCTCGGCTATATAGCCGTCGCTATACACCCTCTTCATCGCCTCCAAGGGTCGACCACGAGGTCGTTTACTCACCTCCTTCCTTCTTTGACTTGATCTTCTTTCGCTCCATTCCGATACTTGCCAAAAAGGCGACGCCGCCAAGTGCCGTCGATACAAGGAAGGCATTTGAGATACCATACCTAAACGCATCTCTGACGTGGGCGAGAGAATCAGCCGACACGACATGTTCCAAATCAGTCCCTCCTGCCGCGATAACAGCTTGGATGTCAATGTCGGCTATTGTCTTTAGCCTTTGGCGGAGAGAGTTCTGGAAGACGTTTTGGGAGATGGACAGACCCACCGAACCTCCCAGGGCTTGGGATAGGATGATCAGCACCGTTCCCAGGGGAATGTCACCTGCTACCAAGACGACTTGTACGGCAAAGATTGGGATCTGGATCGCTATGCCGAAGCCAGCTCCAGCTAGAACTTCGTAGCCAAACCATCTCGCCAGTGGGGTGTTTTGTGAGATCGTGTACAGCAGACCTGCACCAATTGTGAAGATGGCCGAGCCAGCCCACATAAATGGGACGTAGTATCCCAGCCAAGTGATAATAGAGCCGGTAATAAGAGTGGCTATCGTGACGGTAACCCCGTGGGGAAGAATGTCAACACCAGATGATTGGGGATCCACTCCCTTGACAGCCTGGAAATAAAACGGCAGATGGTAACTCTGCGTGGTCATAGCTCCTTGATACAGCGCAGAGAAAAGGCATCCAAGGAAGACGGATCTCTGTGAGATGATGCGAGGACGGATCAGTGCACTATACGAGTCAGCGATGACGACGTCAGATAGGAAAGGCACTCACGCTTCCCCTTGTCGTATTTGTATGTACACGAAGAGCGTCAGAAGAAGACCAAAGCTAACAAGACAGCCCCAGACCCGTGAATCGGACCAAGGATGTTTGGTGCCTCCCCATTGTAGAGCCAGGAAGAGGCATACTAGAGCTCCTGCAAGAATCACTGCGCTTTTGAGGCCGAGGCCAAGTATCTTTTCCTTGAGGGTATGGTCGCTGTCTGGAGCTTCACCGAGGGAGATAGGATAATAAAAACAGATTATGAGAGCCATTATGGCACCCAGAGCTTCGCCATTGATTAACACTCGGGTGAATGTTTTGAAAGGGGAACTTACGCAAGTTGATCCAGAAACAAAATCTCCAAGTAAGTTGCTTCGAATGAGTGAATACACCACCAAGCGAGGGGCCAATGACAGACGCTATGCCATACATACTGGAGATTATGGCCAGCAGTAATGGCCTTTTTCTCATCTCAACGATCTTGGAAATGATGATCATGGCACCGCAGAATACGCCCGCTGCGCCCAGCCCAGCTATGGCTCTACCGATGATGAAGGCTGCTGAACTCGGTGCTGCAGCGCAAAGAATAGAGCCCCCTTCAAAGATGATCGAAGAGATTAAGTATACCCATTTGAGATTGAAGAAGGTATATATCTTGCCGAAGGTAGGTTGGAAGGACATTTGGGTGAGGAGATAGGCTGATGCATACCAGGCTGTCGAAAGACTATCAGTAGAATAACTCCTTTGAACAGACGAATCTATTTACCAACGTCGCCCAGACTATCAAACTTGCTCGTAATCTTTGGGATAGCAGTAGCTTCAGCCAGTCAGTGGAATTTCGAAAATGGATAAAAGGATCTCTACCAATGATACTATTATCCAGAGCGATCATCAATACACCAACCATGAGTGAAAGTGACATCAGTACTAGGGGTAATCCATGGAGGTAGTTATCCTCCTCCTGTGCTGGTTCTCCGTCAACAGCCTCATCTTGACGGATACCTGCCTCAAGATTCGCCGGCGGGTGAGACTTCTCCCTGTCTTCAGTCCCTACAGAAGCGTTTATCGGAGACTTAGTGTCCTCCTGGTGTCTATGTTATGGTCAGCAATCCTTGTGTTCTTGTTTGATGAGTTGTACTGACATGGACTCCCCGGGATCCATTATGGTACCAGCCATCACTCAGAATCTCTCGGCAAACTTTTGGCGCCATTTCTGAACTCATTAGGTTTCCATAGCATCTTAAGTAGTCTGAAAGCAATCTATCAATGTTTTGTTGGGCATCACACCATGTAATACGGCTGTATTGAAGTATTACGTTATTTTGCAGCGTCGCACTCGCACTCGCACTAACCACCGCATTCGCTTGTCAGAAGATAAGCAATGCATAAAAGTCTGATCATTCTCAACGTTATTTGACCACCGGTTGCTAAGCAAGAATCTTGATTTGATCATCTCCCTCATGAACAGCTTCGCTTTTGGGGCATTCACTCCTGCAAGGAGTGCGTTCTGGGTAAGGTTTTTATGCATAATCGTTAGGTCTAGATTCCCGGGGCATAATTAAGCAGTGATAAGCTAAAACTGGTGCAGGAGTCTTACTGCTTGATAATCATCTTAGAATGTCTCACTGACACAGTCATAGGTAGATAGGTTGTCTTGAGGCTTGTCTAAGCACTGGTGATTTTACCCGGATCGTGCTTACGTTGGCAGACTCTTTATCGACACTATATTGGATTTCTTATAAATGAACGGCTGACTATTTCAATGTTGCTATATGACCGGCTGTTTAGAAAACAAGTACAAGTAAGGTCTGCATTCAACGTTATCAACATATGGCTTCAAACTTATTGGGCAGTTATCTGGACGGTGAGTCAATACACGACCAGAACGAAGAGGTGGATCGCTTGCAGTGGCACTAGATCCTGACATAGCAGCCCAGTACATTAGAGTAAGAAATTTGATTTGAGAACCCTTAGCTGATTTATTGCTAGTACCATTCTTGCCCAAGTTGGAATGTTCGAAACGCAGCGAAAGATCAGGAACTGCAGGGTAGATGAGACTTCAAAATGGCCAAATCAGAACGCAGGATCTGATGAGTCAGCTGCAACACGTACTGGGGGACTCATACCCGCACAACCGGCTATGCGTTTAGTATCACATGTTTTTCGCACAACCGGTTATGCAGATAAGGCTGAATATCTGACTTTAGATTAAATGCATAACTACTATTTAACAATAATACCATTTATAATTAAAATAGCTATTCAGTAGTATTTTTCATCTTTATAACTACTTATTACTTTATATTTTATATTATTAATCTGCTGCCTAGCCTCTATCTACTGCAAATAACACAGAAGTAATATAACCTTCTAACTAATAGGATTACATAAAAACAGTTATCTGCTTATAATATCAAGGATATAAAGAGAGCCTCATTATATCATAGATATAATTAATACTAATATATAGAAGCCCTCTCTATTATAACTGCAATATAATTAACTTAACAGTATATGCCTTCTTCTTCTCAACTTAAATCAACAAAGGGAGATACTATATACAGGATATCTATTATTATGCCTTTAGTTATACTATAGAAATAATTCCTCTGTCACTCTTAATCTATATAGCAAGTATTTAATATAGCCGTAAATTAATCAGTAGATACATATATAAATTAAGAGATAAATTTCTTATCTTCTCTCCTTAATACAATATCTTCCTTTAAGATATTAAGTAATCCAATAAACCCCCTAGCTTATAATATCTCTATCTCTTCAACAATAGCTCTAAACAATAATAAGAATAACAACTTTAAGATCTTCGAGGATAACACTTAAACTATCCCCTGCCTAATCCCTTTAAACCAAAATAACCAGTTTATCCTGCAGCCTGCTATTACTATAAATAACCTTCCTGGTCACTTAGGGACTAGGTAAGTAGTATATAAGGCAGCAGGCTTCTTTTAGCCTATCCCCTGACTTATTCTTTATGGCCAAGAGAATCTAAGAGTATAATAGCCAGTGTATAATATATTTAATATTAATAGTTAGATAGCCTAGAACGCTTCCCTGGGAGCTAATATAAATATAGGTCTCCTAACACCGGCATAGCTTTATATGGCATATAATACTAGCTTTATTCCTGCTAGGGCTTTTATTATAATCCTAGCGGTTACATCACGTGTACCCTACATTTTTCACCAATCACACATAATTATTACAGACTAAGAGATTCTATTCATAACCGCTAAGATCCGGTTATAATAATCACTTTAAAAACACCAGTGATTCTTAGAATTACATAGTAACCACATAGGTTACTCTATAACTACCTTAAGTATATAGATTATATTTATTACACTTCTATAGAACTTATCTTACTAGCTATTAATAAAACTTCTTTATATTAATTAAGCCTAATACATATTAAATCTACTATTAAGAGATATAATACTTCAATAAGCTTAGTATTATGCCTTATGCCATCTGCTAATAATAAACTTAGCATAGCTTAGTTTATCTATAGTTAGAAACTAATTATTATATATTAATAGCTCTTATTTAGACTATACCGCATAATACTAAGTAATACGAATATAATAGCTACCCATATTAACCCTACATAGTAATATACTGCACCTTATACTACTCTAGCACCTATTAATAATAATTAGGATATAGATAATAATTCTAAGAGTAATACTAACTCTAATATTACCTAGCTCTATTAGCAGATAACTAATATAATAACTAAAATAAATAACCTTAGATAAGCCTTAGTTAAAGCTACTGCGCTCTAGGTATAGCAGGCTACCAACTACTAAAACGCAATTTAGGAAATACATTAACTTACTGCCACTACAGTAAATAGGAAAGAATTAGAGGAAATTCTTAAACCTAATATACCTAAATTATTTAATAAAAACCCTGCCAGACTAGCTACCTTCCTTACTTAATGCCAAGCTTATATAAGTTACTTTCTAAACTAGTTTACTAATAATAGTAATAGGGTTATATATACATTAGGATATCTTAAAGGTAATACTACCTAATAGTTTTAATCTATATTAGAAGTAATTATTACTATACTAGAAGATAAACTGCCACCTAGAACTTTTTAAATTTATAATAACTATATTAAATTTAAGAAAGCTATATAATAAGTATTTAGGTTAATTAATAAAAAAAGCTAAGCAGAAAGAAAGATTAAAGTACTCTAATAAATTAAATCTACATTAGAGTATAAAACTAAATTTCTCTAACTAGCTACTAAGCTAAGATAAGACCAGGAACCCCTTATATTACTCTTTTTTAATAGACTTAAAGAAATAGTTTAAATAAAACTTTATAAGGAAGCTAGACTAAGGATACTAGTTAACTATATTAGCAAAGCCATTAAGGTTAATAATATATAATTCTAATAGAGAATCTGCTATAACCAAAATAATCAAGGATACCAGGGAAATAAGCCATATTATAATACTAACTAGGGAAAGAAATAAAATAATAATACTTCTTATAGCACTAACTCTAGACTAATAATTATTAGAATAACTAAGAAAGATAAATCTAAAATTACTTGCTAGAACTGCAGTAAGAAAGAATATTATAATTTAGAATATAAGAACCCCATTAAGATTAACCAGAAGTATAAACTAGTCCTAGAAAATAAGAAGATTAGTATAATTAAGAAATATAAAGAACCCTAAATAGCAATTAGAACTATTAATATAATCTGCAAAGATAATTATAATATAACTAAACTAATAAAATATATTAGGAATTTTAACCTATCTCTTAATATTTAAGATCTATTCCTTAGTAAGGAAGAAACCTTTAAGAGATACTATCTATATCTAGAACTAGAATAATAACCTATCTTAGGATACCTAGCTCTTATAGTAATAACCTATATGCAAAGCAAAAGCGAAAAATAAGCTAAGAAAAGAGTATATAATGCGAAAAGATAAGAAGATCCTGAATTTAGAAGAAAAGAAAGTAAATAATAAAAATAATAAAGATTAAAGGTAAAATAAGATGCAGAAGTTAAACTTAAATAGGTGCTAATACCTAAACCAGAAATATAATATATTATTAAAGGAAAATCTATTTTTATAATTAAAAAGGGAAAAGAAATTAACCCTAACCTGGATAATAAACTAAGTATTATAAGAAATAACTAAAGATCTTACTTAGTAGTAGATAAAATCCCTATTAAAGTTACCCTAAAATAACTAAATTGATATATTAATAATCTAAACTATCTGGAATCCTGTTAAGTCTAGAGAGAATTTAACTCTAGATGTATTAGATATAAGGAAAATAAAATAATCTAAAATACAGAAATTATATCCTAATACGATAAATACGGAGTCTATTTCTAGAATAATAAATATCAGAAATATGCAGAACTTATAAAAGAATATGTAATTATAGAATAAGATGATAATATTTATATCTAAGCATATATAAAGGAAGCAGTAGAAGACTCTATAATACCTAAAGAACATATTTAGATTAAAAAAGATTTAAGGAGATACCTAAATTACCTAAACTACTAGCAGATATTATAGATATTATATATATAATACTACTGCCTATAATACTAGTAAGATAAAATAGTAAATAATTACTTCCTAGTATAAATTAATAAGTATTAAGAATAAAAACCTTATATAATTATTAATACTATTAGATATTAAGTTATA